GCATGGACTTACCCCAAAAGTGTACACGTGTCTTGGACTTGGAAATTCTGCTATGTAGTGATTATCTCTTATTCTCTTCCTGATTGCAAAAGGACCCTTGAGTGGTTCTCCTTCACCCCCCCCCCCCCGTCTTTCTATACTAATACCTAGTGGGATGGACGATTTATCGTCTTGCTCTATCGTCAAGTCTTACCTCGTCGAGTCTTGGCTCGTCAAGTCTTGGCTAGCCCAGTATTACCTCGTCGAGCCTTGGCTCGTCGAGCCTTCCCTAGTCTCGTCTTGGTTCGTCGAGGCTTTGCTCGTCGATTCGTTCCTCGTCGAGGCTTCCTTTGTCGATGTCGATCTCATCGAGCCGTACCTTTTTGAGCCTTAATTCGTGGACCTCGAAGTGCTCCAACTTCCCTCCTCAGGTCTACCACTACTATGATCAAGTCAATAGTAGGGAATATCACGTTCGGAAATTCCTCACACCACACTTGGTACATACCGGCGATCAACCACCGCTCTGGTGACACATCTTCCTCCTATTTTCCTCGTACTTTTCATGTCTGCTTTAGAGTACAACTGTAGCTGGCTAGAAGGCGACGTGGGCGCATCAGTCGATTTCGCCTTTATCGGGGTCATCCTGTCGTGGTTCATCGCAAGCCTGGACGTCTTAATGATATCCCTTCATTATTCAACGAATCGTTTGAATCCAAATCCAAATTTACTGACACCTTTTTCGACGATTCGGTATGATAACTTCTATATATGTCTGCGATCGGCGTGATCGCTTGATCTGGTGACCCGAAATCGATCTACTCATTAATGGCATTCTTGATCGCCATAGGTGCCGCATCGTTTTTGTGGATCCACTTGTTCAATTTCGCAAGCAACGACCTTTCTGCAGTATTCACTTGGTCGACGTTACATGCCAATAGTGTCTGCGCAGCGAAATATTTAACGGTCAATACCGCGTCTTGTAGCAAATGCATAAGACTACGGATCGCATCCAACTAGTTCGAGGGTGAGACATGCGTCGATTTCGTTATTTGTAGCGAAGCAATCAGCTGTGCTTTTGAAACTTCAACACTAAATCATTGGACAATAATTTGAATTCCTTCGAGTGAAAAGTCTTCATCAGCAGTTATACCTGCCAATTTCCAAGCCATCCATTCATCTTTTCTTCATCCTCCACACACTTGGTCGGCCAATCAAATGTTGTCATAGCGCGATCGTGTGGATCCGGTCTAGCTTAGCGATCGTGTCGATCCGATTTATCTGCTGCCTTTTTTCACTCGCGCATTCCTCGCAATCTTTGTCTTGGACATTGCCCGAAGGGTATTAAGTATGTGGTGGAGTAAGGTCTTAAAAGAGCGTGATGAGCCCCGAAGCACCCATATTGTACCATACGGCCTACTTACGGGGAGTACCCCGATGTCGCGTATAGACCTTAAATCACCTTGTAAAGCCGTCGTCTAGAGGGTGTCACTCTTCGGTGGACTTGGGCGGAGACTAAGATGCTTTAACCTCGACAGAAATATGCCTTGGTCCTCGAGTGGATACGCTTTACTCTGTGGGCCAGTAGTAGCCACTACATCGACTCGGTCTAATGTAGACTTACAACCATATTCCTTAGGTAGCTTGTCACTCCTGGCCTTAAGTATAATAACAGGTGTGGTGTAGAGAATTTCCGAACGTGGTATTCCCTACTATTGACTTGATCATAGTAGTGGTAGACCTGAGGAGGGAAGTTGGAGCACTTCGAGGTCCACGAATTAAGGCTCAAAAAGGTACGGCTCGATGAGATCGACATCGACAAAGGAAGCCTCGACGAGGAACGAATCGACGAGCAAAGCCTCGACGAACCAAGACGAGACTAGGGAAGGCTCGACGAGCCAAGGCTCGACGAGGTAATACTGGGCTAGCCAAGACTTGACGAGCCAAGACTCGACGAGGTAAGACTTGACGATAGAGCAAGACGATAAATCGTCCATCCCACTAGGTATTAGTATAGAAAGACGGGGGGGGGTGAAGGAGAACCACTCAAGGGTCCTTTTGCAATCAGGAAGAGAATAAGAGATAATCACTACATAGCAGAATTTCCAAGTCCAAGACACGTGTACACTTTTGGGGTAAGTCCATGCGTGGGCTGGATTATGCCTGCTGTCGAGCCTCGAGGAGCATAGTTTGTAGAGGCATCGAATGGTAGCGCCAATAGTAAAGGAAGGCCCGGGTTGGGAAGCGTTTGCTTCAAGCGAAAGATAAGTCTCGTCGCACGGCGAGCCGGTGACCCAGTAGACGGCACCGTTTTGAGTCTCGTCGCACGGCGATCCAGTGAACCAGGAGACGGTACCGCTTTAAGTCTCGTCGCACGACGATCCAGTGATCCAGTAGATGGCACTGTATAAAGCCTCGTCAAGCGGCGAGCCGGTGGGTCTTTGACCAAGGACACCGTAAGTCTTCCAGTCGGGCGTATACTGCGCCCGGTGACCGGTAAAAGCGTGAAAACGCCGACTTCTACCCATTGGTACGAGGTCACAGAATTGGAGGAACGGAAACTGCTGAGCTCAGGCAGTCTTCTGGAAAGGAGTGTGAGTGGTTGGATGTACTCAGCTAGACGAGAGTCACAACTAAGACCGAGGGGGCAAACCGCGAAGGAAATTGAACCGACGTACAAGCCCAACTGCGCCGACTAGCTCGGCCATTGTTGAGTTGTTACGTGGAGACTGTTTTGTCACAGATCTGACTAACTACTATATCACAATCCCATCTTCCATTTTGACGTGCCGCTAACCACACAACATAGGTATATTTGAATATCGAGGATTCATAGAACGGATATGTCGCAATGTAACTGATAGCTTCGTGCGACTCGGAAACCTGCCAAATGGTGTCAAATTGTCAACGAATTATCTATGAGGTGACCCTCTTGTCAAACATGCTAGGGTCGATCGTTTCAATGCAGAAAGGCTTGCCAATCGAAACAATATCACACGCATTCCAACCATGAACAATTATCCCGAGCGAAGATAGTGAAATCGTGTGAATTAGAAGTGTGTCGAATCAGGAATACGAATTTTTGGCGCAGATGCGGATACGATGTTCAACCTTTCGCGATAGGTAGGGCTCACGAGCGGGAGCAGGGGCTTGGATAAAGATATTGTGGCTGCTTCCGGCCAGGATATACAAAGATATTCGCACCTCTTTCTATTTGTTGAGTGGAAGGTTTACACTCTGGTACTCCATTCTATTCCATTATGACGATACAAACAGGAATCGATACCCATGTCAGCTTTTATCGGGGGTGGGGTTTATGACGATTGTAGAGATATCGTATACAGCTCACCCTCCAATTGCATGCGCCATGTCGATACGCAAAGTCAAAGCGGACACTGAAGAGTTTGGCTGAAAACAAAACTTTATATATTAGTTTGTCTTCTGCCGCACTACCAGTAGTTCGCCACATTCACTACTTGATAACCATTCCGTACGTACGATCGACTCTGTAAAACTATAGGATTAAAGATTCTTGCGTCATTGTGCCACCACGAAAGGTAGAAGAGCAAAGGCTGGCCGGGTGTAGCCATATACATTTGTTGTCTATTGAGGTCAAAAGCACAATAGCACTTGATGTTCTTTCTCTGTAGCCGCTGTGTTAAGTTCTTACTCCAAAATATTATCAGATCTCCGGACTGAATCTCTGGTGCCAGAAGGCGAGCTCCGTCGCATTCTTTTCTATCGTAGATGATGTATTATACTGTGTTTTACATGATTCTAGTGACATCGTGAAACTGTAACAGCTCTCTGTAGTCACATGAACACAAAAGACCGCGTTTATTGTCGTACGCTTTATGCGTCAGGGCTGTAGCGGCGGCATCGAGGAATGGCCGTAGGTCATACATCATGCGCTGGATTCAATACGAAGCCGCACGATGTATTGACACGACAGGTAGCTTGACTACAAAGCTTTCTTATGAGTAGAAGCACTTTTGGTCACCTCAACATAAAAGCAAACAAAATTGCAAATATTAAGAAAGGACTTTGTGGCAAGGAATACCCGGGAAGATCGCCATTACGAATCGGGAAATTAGCGTCGGCCATCAAATTTGTCCACAGTTGCCAGTATATACGCGTGCCCTGTTGTCAATCGAAGAGACGTCGTTAGCATTGACTTGGACATCACTGCGTCATTGTCCACCACTATAATATGCAGCTCAACGCGGTCATTTGCGCCAGCAAAACTCTCATAGGTCGTAGCCGTCTGGAAGAAGTCGACTCGTCCGTGTTAGTTTACGTCAACTATGTGCACGAGACGACATGTGCCTCTTGGGCAAGAGCCGTGCAATGAGCGTGCGCGAAGGTCAACATGGAGCATGCAGGAGCAAAGAAAACCGAGCTGCTGTCACAGTGTCCGCGTTGACAAAGCAGTCGCTCACGGTTTTTTTTCCGCCTTGTTCCAAATTCTGTCTGTTATTCAATGTGCATCGGTCGGAATTTACGTGCACCACACGAGTGTCCCACCCACTTGTGATTTGCTCTCTCCTCTCGACGGTAGGAACTGTTTCGAAGCAACGTCACGGAGCTGGCAGACGGCCTTTTTGCTCCTCGCTCGCTCGCTTCCCCGACGGCTGTATCCTGTCAAGACGTGTCCAGGTTCTCGCGCGAAGGCGTCAGCAGTAGGCGGCGTTGTGCCATCGCCCGCCTGTTCTCCCTGGTCTCCTCGCCTCACACCGCGCTAAGTGCGCTCTGAGCCGCTCGAATTGCTAGCGATCGTCCCTCGGACGCGGACTCTCAAGCGGCGCTGCGGTAAAGGTCCGTCCTGTGGCTTTGTTGGGTGGGAAGGCGAAACGTGTGCATCCTCTCGCTCGCTCTCTCTGCTTCTCTCTCTCTTTTTTTCTCCCTCTCTCTTTCTCTCTCTCTCTGTGTGTCTATAGTGCTAACAGACGTGCGCCTTTCCGTTGGGGCTGTGCTGTTTTTCTGTTGTTCGCTTTCTTGCGCCATGTCTGTTGACTGTGCAGATGGCGAAGCGAAAGTTTGTATCGTCCAAGAAAAACGCGCCAAGTCGTACGATCTCGAGCAAAGAGGCGGCGCTACGTGGCCGAAGTGGTGGCGCAGACGGAGCGGCATCAGAATCGAGTGACTCGGCGGCCTCTTCGAACGTAGAGTCGTCCACGCCAGTGTCCTCCGAGAGCGAACAAGAGGATGATGACGGTAATTTGACCGCTGGTCAACAGCCGGTCGCGGTGGACGTGATGCCGGCTAGTGTAGGAAGGGGAAAGCAATTACGATTCCCAAGTGCTATATCGCGGGGCAAGGTATTGCCGACTGAAGGCGGTGTCGACTCGGACGCTGAAGATTCGGATGATGAGAGTTTGTTGTCAGTTGCAGAAAGCGACGACGAAGAGCATGACCGAGGAGCAACGACGACGGAGGTAGAGGAGGAACCTGCTATCGTGATGTCTGTTGATCACGAGAAGCTTACTCAGGCGAGTCATGAGTCGAAAGCAAATAATGAAACCACGTCAACGTACCCGATCAAGGCTGTCCGCGCGCGGAAGCGACATCGACCAGACTCCGACTATTACAAGCAAATGTCCACGTATGTGCGGGACTGTTTGCTCAGAGTACGGTGCACTAGCAATAGTGAGACTTCCATCGACGCAATTGAAATTGAGTCATCATCGCGGCACGATGAGTTTCGGCGACAGCTAGCTGTGGGAGAAGCAGAACGCGTGACATGGAAGGAGCCTCCTTCTGTGGAGTCTGGCACGGGAGATCAATCCGATGAAGCCAAATCTAGCAAGATGAACCAGTCAAGCAAATCTAGCAGCTTGAGCAAGACCAGCAAGCCGGTCAAGTCCAACAGCAAAGACAAGGAGCTGGTGATGGACTCAAAGAAGACCAATACAAATAAGTCGGCTTCTCTTCCGTCGAATGAAAATGCAGCTGATAATCTGACACTGCCGGCTCGATCCCCGGCACCTGTTGCACCGACAATCTGTGAAGTATGCAAAAAGAAGATGAATGGTGAAACAGGAAAGGAGGAAGAGCAGGAACGACTAGGTAAAAGTGTGAAGACTGTGAAGACTGAAGATGTGAAGGAACCACTAGGAGAGGTGAAGAAGGAGAACACTGCGCCCCAGGCCTCTACTCCACCTGTTGGGTCTTTTATGATCACATTCTTACCCGAAGGTGATGCACAGAAGCTACGGCTAGAGTCAGCAAAACTGATGGACGAGGCACGAAAACTGAAGCACGAGGGTAATCGTCGTGGATCTAGTGAATGCGGCACGGAGGGACAGCTCACACAAGGCAAGTATTACCTACGCTCGGGTGCTAAGTTTTTCGCATACGCACTGAAGCTGCAAGAAGTGAAAGTGGCGTATCAGAAAAAAAGTGACGCTCAGCACGCGCAATCGTTTGGCGAGAACTGTATCACGACTCTTTCGCAGACGTCATCGCTGGTTGAGAGCACCATTCGCGCGTTTCAGAGTGCCGGCAGCATGCGGCTAGCCGCCCTCGGCTGCAAAATGGCTGCAGTAATACATCTTACTGTTTATCGGCTGCAGCACCGCAAGCTGCAGTCATTCTATTCGGAGCTATTTACACCCGGACGCTCACCCGAATCGCGGGAGAACGGCCTCACTCCGCCCATCGATCCGAACAATAACCTGAACAGCTGCAGCAGCAAAGATGCTGCTATGCGCAAGCACTTGCTGAAGGAGATGGAACACACACTGCGCGGATTTGAAATGTGGCGACGTTACGAGTCTTACAAGGTGAGTGTGTTACCGCGAGTGACAAACCCTGTGATTTTAGACCCAGCTGTGTTTTTTGAAGACCTCGAAGCAGAGCTCAGTCAGTCTTAGTTGCTCATCGAGCACCATGAAGTAGCATAAAAATATCACGCGTGACGGTCCCTGTTGATCAAGACGAGAAACGTTGCGACTGTACCGAAAGACGCAAAACACTGACGTCCATTGAAGCAGAATAACCGGTGCAAGAGATCACAGCGATTCCTTGGTGAACTCACTCTTCGAGACGACAACGTTGCCATTTTTCAGCTCATATAAGAAAGCCACGACTTTTGCCCCCTGCAACGCCATGAGTATAAAGCTCGGAACCACGTCCCTCGTACAGCTGCTGAACGCGCCTGTGATTGATCCAGGATTTACATGCCACTTGCCTTGTTCTTGCCGGATGTGGGGCCTATGACGGACGCATTAAGTAATGAGCCGTCAGTGCAGCAGAAATATCATACAAGTTCGATGGCACTCACGTGTGGGTATGACCAGTGATGAGAATGTCGACGTTCATCTGCGGTTCACGTAAACGGGCTCACAATATATCCTCGAGCAGCAAATACAGCAACACTGCACGGACACAATCAAACCTTTCGCTGCAGAGCCGCGAGGCTGTGCTGATCGCCCCACGGAACAATCTGGTGTCCGTGACAGAGCCCAATCCGGAATTGGCCGATCGTGACGACCTTCGAATCCGGGTACGCTCCTCCCTGCATGACCGAGACAGCAGATAAGAATGCTTGCGGTGCTTCTGCTCCACCCAATCAGCCGCTATGGATGCAAGACAGTCATCCGTACTTGGTCACAGTCTCCAGCCACAACGTGGACATTGGGTGCTAGCTGTCGCAGTTCGTCGAGTTGCTCCTTCGTCACTACATTTCCCGTGCACAAAACGTGCTGCATCTTGTTTGGCACCTACTTGGTAACGTATCCGCCACATGGTGATGATGAGATTAGGGCTCGAAACCCCACACTTGACCAGCTACGCATGCGCACGAGTATCTTCTGGAACTTCTCAGGGATCTCCGAGCACCGATATGGAATGTGGCTGTCACCCATCACCAGCACGAGCTGACCAACGGAAGCAGATCAAAGAGGCAAGGCGACGTCAGTAGCCCAAAGGTGCCGCACCTCCATGCAACACACGGCACGGCCCAACCTCGCCGAAACCCGACGCCATGTGTCTGCTTTATCACAATACACGACCAATGACAGCCGTAGTCGACGTTGATTGGCTCTTACAACTGTCCGTGTTCCACTCACATTTGCAACATTGCAATAGCCGTCGAGATCACGGCCGCCGAGCGCCTATTGTGCTATTGCAATTATTGTAACTGCTGCACGGACGACTCTGCGGTCCACTATCCTCCGTTTTGCCGTTCGCGTCCTTGTCGTCCCGCAACTGTCGCCGCGACGATGAAGATCTCGCTCAAGCAAGTGAGTTTCGTGATGCTCGTGGTGCAGAACACGGCGCTGTCCATCACGTCCAAGTACTCGCGCGCTCAAGCAGGACCCAAGTACCGCCCAAGCTCCGTCGTCCTGCTTGTCGAGATGTTTAAGTTTCTCTTGTGCTGTCTTATGTTGCTCAAGCTCAAGCGCGGAAACGTCAAGGCGTCGATACGCACGTTGCAACTGGAAGTCTTTGCCGACACGAGGGGACTCGCGAAGATGGCGGTGCTCGCGTTCCTCTACGCACTGCAGAACATGTTTGCGCTCATTGCGTACGACTACGTGGACGTGACGACGTACCAGATCGTGTACCAGCTGAAGGTCATTACGACCGCCATTTTCATGATTGTGCTGCTGCACCGGCGCTTTAGCTTTGTGCAGTGGTGTGCCATGGTGGCGCTTATGGCTGGCGTCACCATCTGTTCGTACTCGCGACTCCCGAGTGGATCAACGCACGCGGACAAAGTGAACAGCAACAGCGACCACCAGGTTATTGGCATTTGTATCATGGTTGGACTAGCAATCAACTCGGGACTTGCTGCCGCTTACTTTGAGCGCGTCATGAAATCACACAAGGCCGTGGCGGCACAGCGGACGCTGGACGCGCTCTGGACGCGAAATTTGCAGCTTTCGGCCATCTCTGTAGGCGTCGCTGCTGTGGACGTCGTGCGCAATATCAGCGAAGTGTATACGAACGGACTCTTCCATGGCTTCCACCCAGCGGTCTTTGCCGTCATATTTCTCCAGGCCGTCGGTGGGCTCACGATTGCAGCTGTCGTGCGCTACTCGGACAACATTGTCAAGAACTTTGGCACGTCCTTCTCGCTCATCTTCTCATGCATCATCTCCAATTACATGTTTGACCAGACGGCCACGACCTCTTTCTACTTTGGCGTCTTGCTGGTCGTCGTCTCAGTGTTTGTCTACGGAGACAGCAGGTTTGCCATCAAACCCGTTGCCAAGAAGGAGCATCGATCTCCGGCGGCAGATGATGTTGTCATTGACACGAGAGGCTCGCAGACAATACAGCAGGGACACCGGCACTTTGTTACACGAACGTTGCAGACGTTCAATGTGCTGTGCGGGTAGAATAGTTGAAGCTTCATCAATCGGTTACATCTGCCTACGATAGTTGTAATCCCTTTTCAATCCAACAATTGCGCGAAACGCACCATGGTTTGAACCTTTACGAGAGCTTGCTGTGGTTGTCTTCAGCACTACGGACGCCGTCTTCTGGTATCATCGCACGCGCTTTCTGAAGGCGTTCCGCCAGAAACGAGCCCTTCGCTGGTTCAGCTGATGCTCGATCAAGTCTACATACAATTCCGCTTTTCACGCGCGCACAGCGGCCGCACAAATCCGTGATGAACTTCGCCACCTCGTGTGGACAATCTTCCTGTATCGCGTGCCCCGACGAATACACCAATCTCATCTCGAATTTGCCCATCATTTGGCCGCGCATAAGCTCCGTGTCCAGACGGTCGGAGCCTTACGAGTGGGGTGAGCAAAGAACGTGTGACCAGACAACCCAAATGGAATCAGTGCACCATCTTACCTGCCAACACCAACACCTTGGCTTCCTTTAGCGACAGGAACTGCTTCGAGAGACCAGTAAACCAGCCTGTCGATAGCGCAAAAAGGTAAGCGAGCGCACTTCTGACAGGTCCAGCAAAACTACCCACCATTCCAGTGCTTTGCACTGCAGGCCAGATCTGTCCTCCATACCAGCGTGCCGTCTTCAAGTCGCTTGAGCTGCGACGGAATGGAGACTTCGACAGCTTCAGCATTATGCACAGTGCCGCTACGCAATGCCCAATCGACCGCATCCTTGTACGAGCGAAAGCGCGATGGACGTCGTTCAAGGATGGCGCCCATGTGCTTTAGCGACGCCATTGCCGTGCCTTCCACCACATCAATCACCATGACACCGACAAGAGACGGCACCTTGCCCGTGGCAGCAACCCGAACTCCGAGTGCACCGCCCAAACTATAGGCAAAGGCATCGCGATAATGGGCAACACAAAGGATCGTACCAGTTTTGTCAACACAAGACCCTTCCCTTCATGCAGCGACCATGTTCCTCACCTGTGGCCAACGATGATGGTCTGCGGATTCTCTACATCAGCACTTCCGTCCGTCTTCGGCGCCATAGGAGGGACCACATGTTCCACGATCTGCAGAGTGTCTTCTACCAGTGTATCGATGGACAAGTCGTCATCGACGCTTGTGTGTGTCTGGCCATGACCGCGCAAATCAAAGGCGTACACCCTGCACGTGTCCTTCAGCATGGCCTAGAGATAGCACAGCACCGCATCGTCGTTAGCCATATAGCCAGCACCGGTATACAACAGACGCTTGAAGCACTTTGTACCGCCACGAGACACCAAGTCATGGAGGTGTAACCCCCACCGTGTAGTAAGATCACGTGCGGACCTTGAGAGCCTGTGCGATACACGCGAAATGTCTACAAGCAGAGCGATAAGCAGCAAAACGCACGGCCAGTAAGCGAACAGTCGTCAATCAGTGCATACCAAAGGTGACACACGTCTCCATTGGGCAGCGCCACGTCTTCGTTCGAGTCAAAGTACTCGACCCATGCGCCGTCGTAGCTGACGTCGTGTGTCGTTGCCATGTTGAGTCCAGCGAGTTTTTCCGATTGGGCAGAGTATTATCCTATCAACATCGAGACAGTGCTCTTGGCCTTGAAGTCGGGTCTGTATTGCAACATTCTAATGACAATTTCACCGCACGCAAAGCTGTGGGTTTAGTCACTATTGTATTGGAAACGGTTGCTGGACACGCGACAGGTCGCATACCCGAGCGCATGACACGGACAAATGTGTACGAAACCGCCAAAGGGCCTACGACAGATATGCTCAACACTATGTGCGATGATCAGATCGACGATGATCTATCTGGCTATTGCTTTCCGAATGCTCCTCGCTTCGCATCTCATGGGTACGACGACGCCGCAACATGCCATACCCACAACTTCGACCTCTCCATTTGTCTCAAGTCTTCTTTTACGCACCCTCCTCATTCCATTGTCGAGCTGCTGTCTCGTTATCCTTCTCTATTACATTGTCGAGCTGCTGTTTCATTGTGGCTGCGTACGCGGTCGAATCTGACGTACCGCACGATTTATAATCAATGAGGCGATACCGCGATTCGAGTGTAAGGTCGATCCTCGTATTGCTCGCTGTGCGTGAGCGCATGAGCACGTGGAGAGGTACGTAGCTTGTTTGTGAAGGGCTCAATAGTCACTTGATACGCGCAGGTTATGGATGCGGTATGGCGAGAGTCAGGAAGTCCTTGGCGACCAGATATGTCGTCAGTACGTGTGCTGTTCTTGCCCTTGTGTGGCAGCAGAAGACACAATGGGTACAAAGGAATCCTGTCGCTGACTAGATCGCAAAGCCCAATCTTACGTACACCTCACACTATTTTACGGCGTGCAGCGAAATGCCCCCACTTTTGTGACGCGTTGGTACCCAAGTTACAAAAAGACAAAGCCCCTCACGCTGTCGAGGTCTCTCATCTTTAATACAACCCCCACGACCCATCCTGACACAAGGAGCCGCTCGATCGAAGTGCGGATGGACCGCAGACGCACGGACCTCACGCTCATCTGCGAGAAGACGCTGCACCGATGGGCCGAGAACGGACGCGCCGACACGTACATGCTGCTTCTCCGTGTCTCAATGAGCCCTCTGGCCTTCGCGGTCGACCTGACGCTTGTTGTACTATTGACTCGTTCTCTCTCTCTCTATCTATCTATCTATCTATCTATCTATCTATCTATCTATCTATCTATCTATTTCTTATAGCCTGAAGCAGTTGACACGCGCTTTGAGCGGTTTCTCAGGACACGAGGCGGATTCGGGTAAGCGGGGTTGTTGTGTAGTATGGTGTGGCAGTGCTTTTTATGTATCATACATCATGCTTGACGCCTGTAGAGCTGCCTCGACTGCTCTATGAGCTCGTGTGGATCGTGCTGGACGCCAAGTTGGCCAAACAACAAGTGCTGGGACTACTGAAGGAAGCCGAGATGGTACGTGTGCACAGACAGAGATCTTAGCGATCATTGATTTGCGGACTACTAACATCGGACCGATCGACTGACTGACTGACTGACTGACTGACTACTTTGTAGACAACGAACTCCAAGGCATGCGATTTGTTGACAGATATGCTGTGGGTCATCGGCAATCAAGTCGAGATCAGTGAGCGCGGCTATGAGCGTCACACGTCGAGGGAATGGCGCAATTTGTGCGCATTGGTAAAAGCCACGGTGGACGAGAAGCTTTTGACGCTACTGAGCCTCAAGTCAACACTTGAGTTCGATTTGCTGCACGATGCAGAGCTAGTGTCCCAGCCGCAGCTGCTGGCGAAGAAGATGGTGCGCATTAATACGAAGACCCTGTACACACAGATCAAGTACAACCTGCTGCGTGAGGAGACAGAGGGGTTTTCCAAGGTGCTGTGTCTGCTACACACTGGGGTAAGCAAGGGCCAGCTCGAGGAGACAAAAGCTGACCTAATAACGCTTATCGGCTTTTTCGACTTGGATGCGAACCGTGTCTTGGACTTGGTGCTTGACGTCTACGAGATGAATCCGAGAAACGATTGCTTTACTCATCTCCTCGAGATATTTAAGCGCGATAGCTTGCCTCACGTTATGGGTTTCAAGTTTCAGTTTTATAAACGTGATCCACCTGCTGTGGAGGGAGCCACGACGCCACGCTCACTCTACCGTCTAGCTGCAACGCTGCTGAACAAGGGCCTTCTCGATTTGGACGCTCTCCTGCCACACTTGTCCCCGTCTCGTGGCGACATCATACAAGCGTCTGTGGAGCACGAAAAGGAGCTGATCGAAAAAGCTGGGTCGTTTGGCCAGATAAGTCTTGCCGGCAAAAAAGACTCAGAGAAAGCAGTGGGCTTGGATGAAGTAGCTCTCGTTGCTGAGAAACGCAAGCAGAATGCGGAACACAACCAGGTGTACGGGCTTATCATCGGTCTTTTGGAGATTGATGCGCGAGAACGCGCCTTTGATATGATTTCGTGGTTTCAAAAGAGAGGTGCCAACCCTCTTGTGTTTGAACCGTTGAACTCGGAAGCGTGTGCTGTTGTAAATGTGATGATCGAAGACGTGTATGCGTCGTTATCATCCCGCAGTCTAGAGCTTGTAAGTGCCAACAGCGTGGGTTCGGCAACTCAAGTGAGCGATCTAGCGCCCCACGCAAGCATGAGCAGCCATTACGTTCGTAGAGTGGCTACGCTCGACGACTGTGTGTCTGATGTGTTCCCTATAGTGGAGAAGATTGGGCCTCAGTTGTTTCACGACCAGTTTCTTTTGGCAAAGCTGCTGCGCATCGTTGGCAAGTTGGTTGATGATCACGCCAAGAAGGCCAGCGCTATTGTTGAAAAGGATGGAAAGGATGCTGTGCTTCTAACGAAGGTGAAGTCACTGTTGATCAGTTCATTCTTCCCGGCCATGTCGCTGCAGAAATGTAATCCGAGCTCGGCATTCTTGATGTGGGACCTGATCAAAACGTTACCGTGCGATGAGCGCTACAGAATGTACTTACATTGGTTCGAGTTGTACGACAAGTATCCGGAGATGCGCATCAAAGAAGCTGAGGTAATACAAAGCACGCGTGCAATCATGCGGCGGCTCACGGCAGATCGGGCAAAGCTGTCAGCCCGCAGTCTGACCCACGTGTCCCACTCGAACCCGCTGATTGTATTTCGTACGATGCTGCGGCAGATTCAGTCGTACGATAATTTGATTCAGCCTGTGGTGGAGTCGCTCAAATTCGTCACGCCATTGGGGATGGATGTGTTGTCATTCGTTCTTGTCAGCGAATTATCGAGACCGCAGCAGTCCATGAAGTCCGACGGGACCAATGTCTCACTGTGGCTGACGTCGCTTGCGAATTTTTCGGGTAGCTTCTACCGCAAGTATCCAAACGTGGAGCTGGCAGGTCTACTTCAGTATCTTATCCAGCGTCTCAAAAGCTGGGCGTCGGTAGATCTTGTCGTATTGAGTGAGCTGCTTACAAAGATGGGGTCGTGCTTGAGCTTGGAGGATATCTCAGCAAGCCAACTCGAAGCCCAAGCTGGCGGGCCGCACCTTTGGTATGAACCGACAGACCCGAAGTTCCAAAACCGTCGTGCCATTCCCAAACTACGCGATGCTCTGATCAAGCGTAACTTGGCCTTACCGTTATGTATCTTGATTTGTCAGATGCGCAGCCGCATTGAGTACCATGAGGACAGAGCATTGCCACATCTCAAGCTGCTCGGTCGAGTCTTTGATACTTGCCAGCTTACACTCAGCCAGCTGCTGCAGTTTCTAGGTGGCGTTGTTGACCCGTCGGCGTACCGAAAGATGCTTCCGTCAATTACGACGCTAGTTCGTGAGTACAACGTGCCACCCGAGTTGGCGATGTCACTCATTCGTCCGGCGATGCGCAGCGACGATCCAATATTGCGAACCGCGCCGCGTGGTGTACATGCTACCAGCAGTACGAATACGGCCACTAATGGGGTCAGTACAGCTGAAGTCGCATCAAATGGCACGTCCGCTGTGGAGAAAAGTTGGTATATGTACGATCCCGATGTATTGGCGGACATCAAGGAAGCACTGCGCGTCCAGAATACACCCGGCGGTAATTGTGAAGGACCGTTTTCGGTATTAACGCCAGAGGTATATGCAACGTTTTGGGGCTTGAAGCTGTACGACATCCATATTCCGTTCCAGCAGTATGAGTCAGAGATTTTGCGCTTGAGGAACTCTATCACATCTGGCGCAAACGCGTCGCTCAGTGCAAGTGAGCGGAAGAAGCTGAAAGATAAGACCACGCAGATGATCGATGTGCTTACGACGGAACAAAAAGACCAGGTGGTTCATCGAAAACGCGTATACGAGCGACTAGAGAAGATGAAAGGAACGTTTTTCACGTTTTTCAAAAACGAACCGAACGATTATCAAACTGCGATTGACGAGCTGCTTCAGAAGTGTGTGATTCCACGCTCGCTAATATCACCTGAAGACGCACTATTTGCCGCCAAGTTCATGGAGCGCCTACATACCTTGTCGACACCACAACTTAGCAGTCTGCAGTATTTCCACAAGGTAAACGTGAAGGTGTCAGCGCTAGTGCTATGCGCGACGGAGCGTGAGGCGAGCAACTTTGGCTTTTTCATGAAGGAGACACTGGGGCTTATTCTGCGGTGGTACCAGAACGGCGCGACGTATGATGATGAAGCGGTCCATGGCAAGATTGGCATGAGCTTAGATCTGACTGACGACACGAAATGTATCGCCCACCGCCAGTTTAAGGTGGCGTATGCTCGTTGGCACCAGCAGCTCGAGCTTGTGTACAAAACAGCTCTTTCGAGTGGCAAGTACATGCCGATCCGCAACACTTTGGTGGTACTCACAAAGCTGATTGACGTATTCCCAGTGGGCTGTGGAACAGCTGAGGTGATCTTGGCTATTGTGGAAAAGCTGACAAATGAAGATAGGGAAGATATCAAGATCATGGCTAAGCGCTACTTTGCTCTGCTCACGAAGCGCAAGGCGTCGCTGACTGACGATAGGATCCTGCGCACTCGCTATACTCTATCGAAGCCTCTAGCTGCTGTATCATCAAGCAATGACAAAAAGGGTGCAACCGATGGGGAGAACGCGACGGATCCTGCTGACGACACCGAAGGCAATGAAGGCAAACGCGAAGGTGTAACCGTGCCAGCGCCAAGTCGTGCGGAGTGTCAAGAGATCGAAAGTGGCGAAATCGTGCTGGGAAAAAGCAGCAACTACAGCGATGTCGCTTCTACGCGGATGAAAGAGCGAACCTCGGAGCGTGAACGAGGTGGGGATCGTAGTCGGGACAGCCGCAGTGGACAAGGCAGCTCAATTGACGCTGGTCATGACCGTAGCAGTCGTGCAGAACGTGAAGAGCCTGAGCATCGCCAAGATACTTCGGTGGATACATCTGTCGAACACGGGATGGAGGAAAAACGCGGTCGTCGAGACTACCGCGATCGTGAGTTGTCGCCCGCGTTGGCGAGTCAAAGTAGCTCAACAAATAGTCGAGCGTTCGAATCGCGCGAACGCAGTGGGTCGGCATCCCGCAATTTCGAGAAAGCATCGACACCGCTGCGCAGTCGGTCAGGGGATCGTGCCGATGACCGTAGTACCGTGAGTGCCAATCGATCTTCACGGGAAAGCGAGCGTGCGCGCGAACGTGGACAGGTCTACCGTGGCATTCAAGGTGACCGTTTTGCAAGCGCCCGCCACAGCAGCCGCAGTGGCAGTCATGATCGTCACGAACGCAGCTCGCGAAATCGTGATTCGATCTACGGACGCGAAGGGAACGAGGTGGCAAGGCAACCAGAGCTGTCCGAATCGACTTCAGCGCGAAATGACGAGCCGGTCAAGCCGCCGTTGTTACCACAGCCCGATCACGTGTCTGAGTCATCCACCCCAAATTGGGGAACGAGAGCAGGGCATGAGACCGTGGCTACTGAGCCTCCTTCAGTCGAAGTTGTGCACAAGAGAGTCCGATCTGCTGAGCAGTCGGAGGCCGCGTTGCGTCGTCAGCTTACCGCCGATAAGGAGGCCAGGGCCAAAGAGCTGCTATCTGGCGAGCGCAGTAGACCTGGAGCGCGTGATCGGATGCGTCCTCCGCTTTCGTCGTCAGTGGCTGCATCTCCAGCGGCAAAGGTCCCGACGGCCGTTGCTGGAAGTCTTGCTGGTGGTGCGCGCAAGATCGTGTCACTGGTGTCTTCGTCTCGCAAGCGTGAGCGTGAGCCTACTACGGCTGAAGAAGTATCTCCGAGCAACGCAATGGAAGCAAACCGGCGTCGTGATGGTGGTAGCAATGGCACCCGAGGCGAGCTGAAGCGCGGACATGACGACAAGCGCAAGCGAAAGATGAAGGGGAATGGCGTGGACGGAAACAGCGGGAACCAGATGCAGCAGCAGCAGCAGCATCAGCTCCAGCAGCGCGACCAAATGTACGCAACTACTCTGTGAGTCCCTGCTGTGTCAAGTGCTCGTTCTAACAGCAGGTTGTGGTGGTATGATGGGTATGCCTTAGGCGTGGACGTCAAGACCGAGGCGGGCGGCACGCATCGGGAAACTTTGACCGACGGAGCGACCACGACGATCGTGGTGTAAATGGTATGAGCGGTGGCCGTCGACGTGAGCGCAACGACATCCGTGGAGGTCGTCGGTAAGCTGAGACCCTTGTAGATACCCTCCGTCGTCCATCTGGCCCCAAGCACACACACACACACTCACTGCGCGAGACTGTCGTGTGAGGAGCTACTGCAGCGACAGCTCCAGCCACACGTACGCAGTCAACGTGCCGTCCGTAGGTAGCCAAGGCAGGTCTAAGCACGCAACAAACAAGAGCCGCCGGTGACGCCCCCTCCCCGTGCATTGCAGTCCGACGTTCCCCACCACCCGTTTTGTGCCCAGAGCCCCAAACAACGCGCAGCATGACGCGCCGTCGTCTCGCGCTCGTGTTCCCCGGCCAGGGCAGTCAGCGCGTTGGCATGGGCAAAGACCTGCTCCGTGACTGGCCACGCATCGTCAATGCAGTGCTCGAGGAAGCGAGCGAAGCCACGGGACTGAGTCTGCGGCGTCGCATGACGGAAGGCCCCGCCAACGAGCTCACGCCCACGCACGTGGCCCAACCAGCGCTGCTGGCCCTGTCGGTCGCCGTACTCCGCGTCCTGCAGCACGAGCTCGAGCTGCCGAACGTGCACCTGGCGCTCGGCCATTCACTGGGCGAGTACTCGGCGCTCGTGGCAGCAAACGCTATCGACTTTGCCGCAGCTGCTCGTCTCGTGCACACTCGTGGCCTGGCCATGCAGCGCGCCGTCGCTCCTGGGGTCGGGGCCATGGCCGCTCTGATGCCCGTGCAGCCTCCCGCCATTGAGCGGCTGTGCCGCGAAGCGGTGGCCAGTACCGGGAAAACGTGCCAAGTGGCCAACTACAACTCGCACACGCAGACGGTCATCAGCGGCGACGCCGAAGCTGTTCATGCGGTCGTTCGCCGCGCAAAGACAACGGGTCTGGCGCGACGAGCAGTGCTGCTGGACGTGAGCGCGCCGTTCCACTGCGAGCTCATGGCACCTGCGAAACGAGAGCTGCGCGTGCACCTCGCGCACTTGTTACGGGCCAACGCGCTGCGGCCGCCCGAGGTGCCCGTGGTGTGGAACGTCGAGGCTGCCGCGACGATCAAGACGCCCGAGGAGGTCGCACAAGTGCTGGAGACACAGGTCGTGCAGGCTGTCCGCTGGGGCGCCAGCGTCGACTATTGCGTGGACAAGGGCGTGACCCACTTCCTGGAGCTCGGCGTCGGCGGCGTGCTGAGCGGACTGATTCGACAGCAGACAGGCAAGACGAGCGACTTGATGATCACGAGCTGTGGCACGTCCGACGAGATCAAGACGTTCATGAGCGAGCAACAGCACTGACCGATCGAGGAGCGGGAGAGCTGCGTCAGCGCATGAAGAGAGCAGGAGGAGGAGGAGGAGGAGGAGGAGGAGAAGAAGACGAGTCAATTGCTATTGCCACTCGAACAAAGACCGACGGTGCGCCAGTCCGTCCCTTGCTTCCAGTACGTCCTCCGTCGATCACGTGCCGTGCTCAACGTCCAGCATAGCAGTCAAAGGAGACACGACCACGACACGAAGCAGCACGTGTTCTCGCTCTTGCGCTCTCTCGCTCGCTCTTGCTACTCCTCGTGAAGCATTGGCGGCTGGCCAATCTCGCGCGACTTGTAAATGTACCGCTGTCGTTCAGAGCCACCGCTGGCACGTCGCACGAGGTACTCTGTCCCTGCACGCTTGGCAACCACCTCTTGTCTGCTCACACACAAGCCATCAAGCAAGAGCCGACCACGTCAGTCGCTTGCGGGGTCGATGAATGTACCCATTGGCTACGATCCCCCAGCACCACGTGGGTCGTCTTCCTCACCTGGCCAGCACGTCCGAGTCCGTCTCGGGAGCATTCGTGAGGCCCAGAAACAGGATAATTGGACCGCCGAGCATCCCCATGTAGGCGGAAAGCTCCCACCCCTTGCGCTTGAACTCGTGCGTGCCCTGTACAAGTTGTCAACATGGGCCAGCACACTTGGCAAACCTCTCGACTAAGTATACGATTGCAGCCAAAATACGCACGTTGTTGGTCAGCATGGCCGTCTCCGGCATGTGGACATGCGGCTTTGCGTGGCTAGCAAAGCCACGCCTTGCCAGGAAACACACACTGCGTGGGACGGACTGCTGCATGACGAGGCGATCGCTCGAGTCGCGAAAGGTGCGGCGTCGCGTGGACTTGAGCTGCGCGATTGTGAGGAGCACGTGCGTTGACGCGCTTGATTGGACAAAAAGCACGACTGGGCTACTTTATCGAAAAAAGGCGTCGCGCGATCGCGAGCGTGTTTGCTGTGCAGGTGCATCGCAAAAAGGTCTTTTTTCACTCGCATCGATCGTCTCGAAAAAAGCGCTTTTTCTTTCTTTCGTCCGTGCAACAGACCCGGCGAGGAGAAGACACAGACGGCATCGCACGTTATTTTCCAGTCTTTACACGTTCGGATCATAGCGTCTTGGCAATATGGGACTTCAGAAGACCAAAAAGTCGTGTGCATTCGCGCTGACCTGCGATTGCGTACACGCGTTTGCCGTTCCTGTATGCGACGTGCAGTCCAGTGAGCATCTACTCCCGTATTGTATCGACTGGTCGTGCACCATCGCTGACCAGCTCCGAGCTACTTCAGAGCTTCGGAACGTATCTTTGTCCAAATCCTTTGCATATTGTTACCTGGAACAGAAGTCATCTCTGGACCACCGGATAGGACGACGCCTGCTTCAGATCTGCCCCGGTTTGGACCGACAAACATGCGATCCACCTCAAAGAGTGCTGCAGCCACAATCAAGCACGACGCCATCGGTGCTGGTCTGTCCTCCGCACTTCATTGTCACTCCTCCTGTCCATTAGCCATCGAATTTATCCGCACGTCGATTATTCTCTGATGCACTGCACGCAAGCGACACAAATGACCCACTGGTCGTCCGCGTACTATGTTGCTGTCAATAGAAAAAAAAGACTGCTTGCACGTCGCTTGCCGTGTCTCTGTCCTTGACGTAAAGTGACAATGCCAGAGAGTCCTTTCCAAGGATCTTGGCCCTGTGTCGGTCGGTGGTAGAAAGGTCAGTGGTGCATGACCGAGAATACATCGCCACGGCTATCGCGAGTGCAAGCAAGTGCACCGCGTACAGCTTCACGGCAGTCACTTTCCAATTTCTCTCGACTTTGACCAGTCTCCAGCCAGCCCTCGACAACTCTGCACTACTACCAGTCCCTCCAGCCATGAAACTCCCTCTTGGACTCTGCACGTTTTCGTTGACGCTGTCAAGCTCAGGTGCTCGTCCGTCGTTCGTGGCCCGTATCCCAAATGGCAACCAAGTGACGGGCATTGCAGCATTGGGCCACGTCAATACAGTCGGTGGCGGCGCGACGAATGACTTCGGCGACGCGTTCGAAGCTGCTGGCCACGAATGGACACAAGAGCTGTGCCAAGCTGACTCGGACAGCGATGGTGCATCGAACGGACAAGAGCTGGGCGATCCCTGTTGCACCTGGACGGCTCGCGCGGGATTCGACAGCTCTTCTTCCCCGGCCACACTGTCGTCCCCGACACACCCCGGTGTTGCAAACAGCTTTACAGAGTCCCAGCTTGCTGCAATGGTCTGTGGGGCTGCAGAAGCTGAACTTGACGTCATGTCTTTGACTGGAGCTGCCTCGTCGATTGCGTCCGAGTCGGCTTCCGGATCACTGGCATCGTCATCGTTGTCATCGTCACAGTATGGTGACAGCAGCGGCAGCGTTTCTGACGACGGCATGGCTCAAAAAGACCAGACTCGAGGCTTTTCTGGCCCAGCCGTTGACCGAACGGTGCCACCTCCGACCACTTCGGACGCTCCTGTTCATTGCTCGACTTTTGCCATGTCTGTCTGCTTTTGCTTTTCAGTCGCCCTAGCGCTCGCTGCGAATTAACGCGTTTCGTCAGCTATTTTCCCGTCAAAATGCCAATAATCCAATATTGCAGCCATGTTGATTCAGTGTACCCACTGGCCTCGTCGACTCTTTGACTTTGTTTTGCAATGCACGAGCCCAGCGGCTCCACGGCCGACCTCTTCTCTCGTGTGCTCCAGGACGCTGAGCAAAAGGCACTGCCAGAATCACTACCATCGACACCTGGTGCTAGCAACGAGAGCTCTGGCATCGGCGGCTTTCTCGTGTGTCTCGACGTTCCAGAAGCCACGGAATTTGGCGTCGACTATGAAGTCTTTCGCACTGGAGCACAGTTCCAAGGCGTCAAGTTTCTGCCGTTAGGAATCCACTTTGTGCTCTTTCGATCTCGCGAGCACGAGCACGGGATCCGACAGGGCTTTTTCATCAATGTCGAGCGACACGCACACGTTCTTGTGCGCGAGTGGAGTCCCGAGAAGGAGGAGCTGGGGCCCCCACGACCAGGCGTTAGCATCGAAAACATTGAGCGTACGATTGGGCAACGATACTGAGATAGCGGAGGGCGCCAGTACGGGGGATTGTACTTGACATGTGTATACTATCGTGTTGTTGTTGTTGTAGGTGCTGTGCTGGCATTTCAGCTTGACAGCGGATTGGGACCGTACCCGAAACAGCACCTGAAGACATGGCGCCGTCTCTCTAACTTTATTTCTTCTTCGGTCCTCAAGGTGAGCAGACTGCTGCTGTCAATAGCTACGGAGGTTTCATCGGCACATTGATGGCAGAAACATGTGTGTCTGTGCAGCACTGCGGTGTCAGTTTTGGTGCCATTCTTCTTCCTGGTGACGCGGTTGAAGACGCTGCATCCACGTCTACATCTCAGGAGAACGTGGTCCCTTATTTTCCAGATCTACCACGGACAGTGCGCTTTACGCTGCTGCAAAAGACCAGGACGGATCTCGTGGCTGCAGCGAGGACAGCGTATCACTTGGATCGAAGGTAGTCAAGTCGAATAGAGCAGGAGCTTCGGACCGTTTCAATGGTGCTGCGTCTCCCGCAATAACCAACAGGTACTCGTGTCTTGTTTGTCAAGCAGTGAGAGACTCGAAGAGCTGCTCGAGCAGCAATTTCGCGGGGACTGGAAATGTCTCCTCGGCGAGTTGCAGCTGTCGTTTCTGCTTTTTCTGCAGCTGTCGTCTCTTGCCGCGTTCGAGCAGTGGAAACAGGTAAGAGAAAGAGGGGGAAAAGCTCGTGGTAGCTGATGTTGGGCTTTTCCTGAAGACTAAGCAGTTGTTCTGTATGCTGATGAGCACAGTTTGTGGCGCTCTTGTCGTCGTGCGAGCGAGCGCTTTCGGCTCATCTGCCGCTCTTTGTCGCCTTTGTCCGACTTTTTCGAACGCAATTGAAACAGGTGCGCCGAACACGCCTTGACAGCGTACCACCGTCTCTCTCTTTGTCTCTTTCTCTTCATGTCTCTTCTTACTAGGACATCAACAGCGACTGACTGCACTGATGTCACCAGATTCCACAAGACTTTTTCCACGATGACACGACCCGGAAGAACTTTCTCAGTCCGTGTCTCTTGTCTCTACTCGAGTTAACTGACGACGACGAGGCCCCAGTGCAGGTGCGCTACGTGTCAGTAGTTCCATGGATAGGTCGTGGATGTACTACACCACGACGACTGACAATTTCCGTTACTGCGCTTGACACGGAATGGCAACGACGCGGCAGCTCCGACAGCAGGCTCGTCAGCTGCGGCAGCTGCTAGCGCAGCGCTTTCACTGGGAGTTCAGTGCGGAATCAGAGATGGACGAGTGTGCGCCAGTTATCGTGACCGACAAAGAGGTATAACGGACGGTATCTTTTGTGCGGTACTTGCCGTTTCCGAAAAGATACGGTTGCTTCCACGAGAGTGATGGTCGCACTGGTTGCAGTACTGAGACAAGTTGCTTGCCAATGTGTTGCAGCTCGCCCGAGCTGCAGGTGTTCGTCCAGACGCTCGTACGGACGAGGTGTCGTCGTCCATGCAAGCACCAGCATCTGCCATCACGACGCAGGAGTGCCGCCGCGTCCAGCAAGTAGCAGAAGAGCGCGCGAACGCGGCAATTGCCGCTGCCTTTTTGCGAGGTGCATAAACCGTCGTGAGCGATCGGGATAACGCCAAGCGAGGCATTAGTCGTAAGTAGCTGATACAAAATCCAAGTGTTGCATGTGCCACACCAGCTCGACACGAGCCGCCGTTGGGTGGTTGGTCCGATTGGGTCACACGAACGGCCCCCTCGCTTTTGCGACAGGGGAGAGGTCTGTTGCCCACACAGAAGATTTGAGGGAGTCCGTGCGCTTGATGGAAACATGAAGCCACAGCACCCCAGTTCCACCCCTGGCCCAGGAGGCTACGGCCTTCACGGCGGCTTACCCCACCCGCGCGGCAACACACAGCATTTCGGTACGAGGCCTCGTCACTCGTCCGCGTGTCTCGCTCGCTCACTGCCACGCGCGCCCGCCAGCCAGTCAGCCAATCAGCTAGCAACCAGACCACTGACATCCTGCATTGTCCTGATCCTGTCATAACGCATATATTAGAATACAGAGCCAAGAGCGCGCACCAGCACGACGCACGTCCACACGCCCAAATGACATCCCCAGGACCCGATGGCATGGACGCCAACGCGCCAGCGTTTAAGCTCGGCGGGGGCAGCTACAACCTCCAGCCCGTGCGTTCCTCCTTCCTTTACTTGTCTCGTTGTCTCGGACTTGCTTGACTGGTGTGCGACGTGGTTGTCTGACTGTTTGTTTTTTTGCTTGTTTTTGTTTCTCGTCTCTTGTCTCGTGTGTGCAGACGGCCCAAGCGTTCAACGGCTCGATGAACTACGGACCGGCTCTCCCCATGCACACTCAGCCAGGCATGTCGCAACAAATGCGTGGTCCGCCGGGCAACCAGCACCAGCACCACCAGCACCACCAGCACCAACAACATCATCACCAGCACCACCAGCAGCACCACCAGCAGCAGTATCCACACCAGCATCTGCGGATGCGTGGGCTTCCACGAGGCGCGGTGATGCATCAGCCTTATATGCCTGGAGGCGGCATGAACGCTGGAGCTCAAAGCTATTACCAGCACCAGCTGCAAATGCAATCAGTCTACATGAGTCCAGGCCAACCTCATTATCCGGGAGCTCATCCCATGTATGCCTCTATGCCACCAATGCAAGATATGGCAATGGGTATGGGGGGTATGCCTATGCCTGTGCCAAGTGTTCAGCCACCGCCGAAGCGGAAGTCCAAGATACTGGAAATTATTGACCCTCAAACGGGTCGAGCCATTACTATTGGCAACGTGTCGACCGCAAAACAGTCCAGTAGCACGAGCTCAGCAACCGCAGCGGAAGATACCCAGAAGAACGCTGGAGAGCAGAAGAAACCACAGGAGAAGCAACCGACGCCTGCTGAGATACCTGCTGAGAAACCTGCTGCTCCTTCACCTACTCCGATTACCTCAGTGACGGATGTGGAGCAGAGTGAAACATCAGCTTCTGTTGCAAAGGCGCCGCAAGCATCTCCAGACAGGAGAACTGCGAGTAGAGACTCAGAACCAGCAGCGTGTTCTGCCAAGGAGCCAAAGTCGACTCGAGCGACAAACGGTGCGAAGGACACGACAGAGTCAGTTGACGAGGCTGCTGCAGAAACACCTGGATCCAAGACGAGCGAAAGCGCGTCTTCCGCTACACGGAAAACGACTACAACCGTTACTTCTATCAGTGTTGAAGTCTCGTCGCCGAAACAGAAGACACAAACAACCAAGGAGCCAGCCGAGGAAGCGATTGCCGCTAAGCGGCCCGAGCCTGTATCTTTGGACAAGACACGCTCTGATCAGAACGTTACGACGCCAACGCTGCAGCAGAAGACTTTGCCGGTGAAGGAGGATGACGAGGTGCAGACTGATGTCCGACAAAAGGCGCCAGCCAGCGCACCTGTACAAGCAACGACAGTGAACGTGGGTGCACAAGAGAAGTCGGGCGGCAAATCGGCATATACGCTGGAGCTTATGACAAGGTACTGCACTGTGCGTAAGCACTTGAGTTTGGACATGGAGCCCTCACGTTTTGTTTGTGTGTTGATGATGTAGTTTCCGCGAGCAATACAAGGACCTTCCAGCTACCACAACAGGTTCTACCTGGCCGTCGATGGAAATTACTAGCGAAGCTGCTGTGTCACGTGGCGGTTCCCGCGGAGGACGTGGTGGAGGTGGAGCGGGTTGGGAACGTGGTGACAAGCTGGCTGGTGGGACTGGTCGACAAGGATCATCACGTGGCGGCTCGGGCGGCGGCCAGTGGGCCCGGTCGCAAGACCTGCCTAAGCGAAGTGGTCGCGCCGAGCATGGCGGCCGTGGGGATCGTGGGGACCGTGGCAGCACCCCTGACTTGTCTCTTCTCGATGGACCTGTGAAGCCGTTGACGCGGTCAGCGAATCGATGGATTCCGACGAAGAACACTTCGACTCTAGAAGTGACGAAGAAGAATGTGAACGGCATTATGAACAAGATGACTCGCGAAAAGTTTGAGCGCCTGGCGGGACAACTAACTAGCATCAACATGGAAAGTCTGGAGATGCTGCAAGCTGTCATTAAGATCATTTTCGACAAGGCGGTCGGCGAGCCACACTTTTGTGACATGTACGCAGATTTATGCGTGCATCTTGAGACGAATTGGAAGGTCTGGTCGTTCTTGAAGATCGTCCAGAATGACGACGACAAAACGTTCTACTGGACGGCTATGTCGGATTCTGACTCGGAAGTCGTTGGGCCGTTCGACACAGTCAGCGGTGCGCTGGAGTCGGCGAGCAGTGACGAGTTCGAGCCTGTTCCCATTCCTCCCAACATGAAGCTAAGTGAAGTCCGCGTCCGCCGCCATAAATTTATCAAGGTGTGGGTGCAAGAAGACCCGACCAAGCCTCAGTATTACTGGTCGGGCCAAGATTTGGATGACTTGGGAGATGACCAGGTGTTGAACGGTCCTTACGAAAGCCACGAGCACGCAAGTCGCGTTGCTTTGAAGTCATGTTCATTCAGGCGTATTTTGCTGAATGCCTGTCAAGAAGAGTTCGAGAAAGACAACATATACGAAGAACTGGAGCAGAAGTTTAGACGGGACAAGGAGGAGGGCAAGATCACGCCACAAATGGCGACTGATTACGAGGAAAAACGGCTGATAATGAAGTTGCGCATGCTTGGTAATATTCGCTTCATCGGTGAGCTATACCGAAAAGGGATGCTACAGGAGCGCATCATGCACGAATGCATCATGAAGTTGATGGACGTTCGTTTAAATAGTGACAGTACGCTGATATGTGTACACCCAAACGATCCTCCAGATGAGGAGAGCATTGAGTCACTGGCCAAATTGCTGACCACGATGGGGAAAGACTTGGACAAGCATGGTGCGCAAGGCTGCATGCCGTCGTACTTCCGCTACTTAGAAAGCAAGCTGGTAAAGGACAAACGTCTATCGTCTCGTATCACCTTTATGATCAAAGATGTCATTGAATTGCGCCAGCATAAATGGGAACCGCGGCGAAAGGAGCTGAAGCAAAAGACGCTGACAGAAATTCGGAAGGAGGCGGAACGTGAGGCTCGTGCGCCCCCGAGCAGTGCACCAAGTGGAGGTGGTCGTGGCCGAGGAGATCGCGACCAGTTTCGCTCGGACCGTCGATCCAATGCGCCTCGCGACGCATACAACAATGGTCGGTCTACGATGGCACCCGTGTATCAGCATTCTCAATCAATGAACAGCCGTGGCAGCAACAACCAGCAAGTGACGTTCATACGTGGCATCGGAGCTCGTGACGACTCCGTGCAGACTGGGCCTTCCGGAAGACCCGCTCATTTCGGAATGAGTGCTCGACAGGGTGGACGCGGCAACAGTGCGTCTCCCGCAAGCTTTTCTGGTAGTCGCCGTGGACCAGCAGCAGTTACTGCAAAGAAGCCACAATCGCCTACTCACACGAAGGTGATCGCCCCGCTCAGCGATGAAATTCGAGAGAGCATTGGCAAGAAGGCAAAGTCGACTGCAGAGGAGTATGCCTCGATTGTCGACTTGAAAGAGGCTGACATTTGTTTGGTCGAGAGTCAGAAGGAACACATGAACCACGAAGACGTTAATTGTGTGTTCGCTTTTGAGATTCTGAAGGGGGCGATCGACGCAAAGGCAGAAGTGCGTGCAAAGATGGTGGAGCTGCTCGAAAAGTTGAGCTTGGAAACGAAAAGTCTCACGTTTGTTGGCATTCGCTACGCTATCGAGAGAATGATTGAGCTATGCGGTGATCTTTGGTGCGATGTGCCGAAGCTGCACGAACAAATGGCTGATTTTGTGATGCGTTTTATGAAGAACCCGTCGCTTACTGGCGTCTCATTGGACTGGGTTCTGGGCAAGTGTCTTCAGTCAGTGGATAAAGCTGCATTGAACGAACTGATCGACGGAGGCTTCTTGGCTGCTCTACTGGGTGAAACATTGAAGCTGTTGACGACGACTGGTGTTGAGAAGGCGACAAAGGAGATTCGTGCGACGAATATAACGGTACTGAGTGTATTTCCGTCCTACAAACAGTCTGCCACCGATATGCAGGAGTGGATCAAGAAGTACGATCTTGAGGCCGTCTTTTCGTTGGAGCCTGCTTTCGGTCTCGTGAACCACATGAACAACGCCTCGTCATACGAAGAAATTGTTGCATTCATTGAGAACAACATTCCTGACGCACTGCTCAACGACTCGTTTTTCGCGACATACACGTGTCTGTTCATTTTGAACTTGTCAAAGGAGGGTGAGCAGCTATCGGCTGAGAGATGCATGCTTCTGACGGGCTTCTGCGGTACCTCTGACACCCAAGTTCGCCTAGTGTCGGCCATTTTCCAGACGCGAAACGACAACGGTATGATTGATTGTGCACCGACATGTATGTATGCAATGTTGCGCCTAACTTTATCGTTTTCGCTTGACACAGATCTGGTAAAGAAGCTGCTCAAGCACTTGGTGAAGGAAGGCGCAGTGGCCCCGCTTGCATTCAGCAAGTGGCTCGAGCTGCCAAACGACGATAGTGTGAGTAGGAAGCGCGTGCAGGAGGAGCTGGGCCAATTTGTAGAGGAGTTGGCTCGGACCAAGTGATTATTTCACGATCGGACATGCACTACTTGCCTTGGGAAGGCTTTAGCGGCGCCTGTCCATGCCTTGTGGGTGATGCCAACTGCAGAGTAATTAGCATACAAAAGAAGCTGAAGAAAAGGGCGAACGTGCTCATGCGTCTTTGAGTGTGAAGAGCGAGCTATCATTGCTCGACCTTCACGGTCGCTAAGTTGGATGGCCAAGAGACTGCGCTCGCAACTGCCTGTCCTGCAGCTTTGTAACAAGAGAGTCACTCGAGCCGTATGTGGTGTGTACACGCCTCGATGTGTTTTCCATCGTCTGCCTGACTGCCAACCCAATTTGTTGCTTGCTGCAATTCCAGGGTAAGCCGAGATGCAGCTGCTCATGTAGGTAAGTTACGTCTGCCTGGAGGCTGCGCTAGTCACTCTCTCGCAGCTGAAGTAACGCAACTTTGTAAGCTGCGTGTTTCCAAGAAACAGTTTACTGCTCTGCTACACGTTCACGACACACTACGTGCGTATCCAAATCCTTGCGCCTGTTCCTGCCCGACGTATCCTCTTTTTCTCTCGCGTCTGTATGCGTTACTGCACCTTGTCCTTGCTCTGCTTGCAGCGGCAATATGTTCACATCGTTGCCCTCGTGATTGTCTCCAAACATCTTTGCGTCAATAGTGACGGCCTGTCATTCGATAACAAGCTATCCTTGAGCTGCAATCACGTTTGCTCACCTTGTTCTGCGTCAATGCGTTCAAAATGAGCCGCGCCTCACGACACGAATCGCGTACTTTTGCTATCTCGGATCACAAGGACATCGCACAAAATCGGGTCAACCTTCCTCGGCCACGCAAGCAAAGATGTAGCTTAGTGTACCGCATGAAGTTGATGCGTTTGCAGCTCAATGCGGTAGTGCTCGCGCTGTAATCAATTGTGCTCTTTTTCCGTGCCTTCACTTGAGCAGAATGAAGTCCCTCTAATGCCGATCAAAATGTGAGTTGCATTGTATCGTGTTGCCTTTGTTACACTTACGCTTGACACTCTTCTGTCGCATCTCAATGGTCATCACTTATGAACTGCTAATTCTCTTCTCAGTGTCAAGACAGAGACAGACTCCGACGACCCGACACCTGCCACACCCATTCTACGTCAAGTCTTTTTTTCGCATGCGTTGAGTTGCTTCGTGCACGTCAACAAGCACCAGTCGCTCGCTATTTGTATCAACCACAGTCCAGTCATCTTCCAGCAGTCGTCGCTTCAATGTGCACCAAAGGTACCGCAACCAAAGTGGAAGCTTACAAGGGATTGTCCCGACGACGTGGCACCTCGATGCGAGTGGGTCTCTTTGTCTCGGACACTTTGGCCACGCACGCGTCTCGAGGATCCTAATTTGGGTTCCCACCGTCACCGTCGTCGGCTGTTCCAAATACCCAAAATCGTGTATACTTTTCCAACTACTGTCAAAACCGCACAAACTCGCCGAGCAGCTCATGACGGCCATTGACGAAGTATCGGCGCGCGTCGCTGCCGCGCAGCAGCGTCTCGACTCGCTGGAGCGCTTACTGGATGACGTGGAAGGGGTACAGCGCGTGAAGCAGCACCTGCAGCGCGAGAGGCTGACGAGCAGCGCGCTCCAAACGGCGCCGAGCGACTACTACTCGTGGCGTCTGGACCAGAGAGCGTAAGGCCTTAACTTGTGTCGTTCGGTAGAGCGTTTGTGTGAGGGGCTTTTGTTGTAACAAATAACGTGTCATGCGGTGCTGTAGGAAGTTTCTCGGCTGTAGCACTGTGCACCTTTGCAAGAGTATTATTGTCGAGAACGTGGCATGCGTGAACCAGAGCATTGAGGATCCGCTCAATAGCCGGTAAGGGACTGCAACAAAAGACTGGAGAACTGACGAGATGATGGAGATGATGGGCATGATGGGCATGAGCACTGCACTGAGCAAAGGTCCATTGCGTCGTTGCGGTTGCAGGTACTACTGCGTGGTCCTGCAGTATATCTCCAAGCTCGATGCAGAACAGCTGCGGCGCTTTGTGCGTGACAACATCCCGGAGGCCGACCGTCCATCCAGGAAGAAATTCAATTTTCAGCACGCTCCAGCAGAGGTACGATGGCTGCAGGTTGTACGCAAAAGGTGTTGTTGCCGTGCTTGACATGGTGACTTGATGGTCAGGTGTCGGAGCAACTGACAGGATTCAAGCACAACGGCGTATCTACATTTGGCATGAAGACACGTATCCCGGTATGAAGAGCATTGGCTATCGTAAACAGTCCATGAACTGGCTTTGACGGTGCGCGTGTATTTCGTTTCTGTAGGTCATCGTAGCGAGTGATGTTGTAGCCCTGAAACCGGCGTTCCTGTGGCTTGGTGGAGGCGCAGAGTCGGTAAAGCTGCGTGTCAGCGTGAAAGATCTGATTGTGGCACTCGAAGCACGTGTAGCTGACGGCATTACGACGTTAAGAACCGGTTTGGACGAGCAATGATGGAGTGGTACGCAACTTGTGGCGAACGAGACGTTCAGGAGGTCGATATCTAGTCCTTCATCACTCCACGAGCTTTTCTTGGGCTGGTCTAATGACACAAAGCGCTTTGTGTGCGAACGACAGCATTCGGTTTGGTCTCGGTGGTGACACATCTTGCCGAATCGAGTAAGAAGTGGGTAAAGAAGGAATGATACAACATACTTGACTTCGAGCTGATCGAATCATGCGCCATGCAGCTGTCATGTGTGTGTGTGTGGGAGGAGCTCTTTTTGCTCACCGATTTGTACGCGAACACCACCTGTTTCGAAGGCCTGCAGGTTTTGCTCGGTGACGCAGACATTGTAGCGGAAAAATCTCAAATGTGTAGTAATGTTCGATGCTCAACAACGCTACCAAGAAAAAGATACACAAATGCACCGAATGCTGCGGCAAGTCTACAGAGTCCAGTGTGAACTTGTTCGGTCCGTCTGCGACATAAACCACGCATGTCAAGCTAACGCACTTGCATAAGTTATGTTCTCTACTGCTTTCACTGCGTGCTGCCATGATCGACTTAATACAAACGTGTCAAGGGCCAGCGATGATGACAAGCGTTGTTGTTTGTTGGCCGCTTTTCTACTCGAAATCACAATGGTTTGGGAGGTCACAAGGGTCTTGAGTCAGAGCAACTCCACGAAACAGGCTACACATCTTTCGTCCACACATGTACTTGGCGTCATGTTAGCATGCAGCGTGCTGCTTGAGGAGTTGTACTCTAGTAGTTGACCAGCTATCTGACACTTTTGACTCGTAAATGGTCACTGGGATACCAAGCAAAGTTACGTGCCGATATAGAGGGATACACGTGCTCTTTGTGTTGCAGTGTACCGTGCGTTGTTATTAATAAGATACTAAACGATGCGACAACCACAGGACTGTAGTGACTGCGCGATCGCAAACAAGAGCGTAGTTTACATGATGCACGACCGAGGAACAGCGTGCATGTTTGTTACGATGACGATACTTGAGACCTTGCTTGAAGCGATACAGCCTCAAGTGGTGAATGCTCAACAAACTAGTCCCAACTTTCCGATGATGGTCGTTGAGAGCAATCATAACTGACAAATGTCTTTCCATTGACCAATGCATCCGACCCCGAGGCCTTGATGGCAGTTTTAATGTGATCAAGTATTTGCGATGACATGGCGGTGTCGGATCGGCCGTTGCGTGGCATGCAAGTCGGCTCGTAACGTGACGAAGTAAATGATGTAGAGTCTGCTCGATATGTGTCGTGCTGATCGGACAAGCCAATGCTCGCGTGTAGCCGGCTGCGATGATGATTACTTTGACTTTACATACTACTGTTGCAACTTCGGTTGATAATGGGGATCATCCCAGTGAACATTGCGGTTTACATTGCGATAGAGACGTACAATCCTCGAGCAATTACCTCTGATGTGTCAGTCTAATCCACGTTAATGCGTTCTAGCACCGATGTATAATGTAAACGGCCTAGCATGGCCCAGTTACTTCTCATATTTGCAAATCGCCGACATAATTAGCCGATTTAAATATATGAAGTGATAAGGCTTATCTTGCTGAAAGTCCTTAAATGACGTGTGTGTCGCTACGTCTGTTTACTATGAGGTAGAGCGTCCAGACTAGAAGCAGGCTATAGCACAAAAAGGTACGGATACATGATGAGAATGGGCCAAAACACAAGATGTGGAAGGTGTAGCCGTTGTTGCCACAATTGTGCTTTCGTACAAATAAGAGAATAATATGTACAAGACTCTTTATCACGAAAATGTGTGTGTCGATCAAGCATTTTTGCGGAATAGTAAATCTTTCTTGTAAGAAGCGATGAAGAAATTCGGAATGCGAATGCTTCACGACGCATATATGAAACCTTAATACTGTGATAAGCGGAAGTGAAAAGAGATAGTACGATCACTTTATATGATCTCGGATATGGTTATATGCACATGCACAGTGTGCACCCCTGTTACGTATGGTTTCGAATACATGTAGAGTTTAACGCACGAAATGATCAAACACAGCTCTTACAGGATTATCACAAAACCATCTTCAATCCACCAGTTTGCAAATGCGTTGTGCAGGCGGCTGCTGTGGTGTAGCGGTGGTCGAAGAATTGCTGCGCCCTCAAACCCACCAATGGCGTCCAGAGATCGAATGATGGAAGTAGCACTCTTATTCCGTGTGCATAAGGCATTGCTACCTCAGTCGGCTAATTTGTGCTCTTCTCAGTAGGCTTGGGATGACACGATCATGACCAGTGCTGTAGCTAGGAAATATCACGTGGCTTTATTCGCGGACATTTTTACACACAAGAGGATTACATAGTGCACGCTTTACGGTCCGTTGCGACCGGGACTACAAGTCGCTGTGGATCCAAACATTTTTTGGCCTTCCATATGCCTTATGAACACATGGTTTCATTTACTTTGCTTTCTTGACGCGTCCTGTATTAGTTGGAGTTGGCCGCATAGCCGTTCTTGATCCTCGGCTAGCAAACAATTGTTAACATGTAAAAGGGCGATTAAAGTTTTTGATTGTCGGGAGACCAAAGATCGTACACGAACTATAAGCATGTCCGGAGAGAACATTGACCTCCACTTTACATCGGCCGATCAGAAGAACAAGACGTATGACTGAACGTTTATATCAGCAGGATATGGCCATGTGTGCAGTGATACATCACATTGACATCTTACTTGGCGGTATGTCTCCCGCGTCGCATGTATGCTTCCTTCGTGTCGTGTGTCGTCCGTGTCGTATTCTGACTAAGGTCCTGTGCAGTAATCGCGCTTCTGATGCGCTTCCGTCCCATATCGATTCCATGGAGCGCGGACCGGCATTGACCTGAACTCGTCTTTGATTTTTATGTGATGGCTTTCCGAAAATCGTCGTCCGTGTTTTTCGACGGAAAGACGTCTTTACAATGTGGTCCGCTTCTCGACCTTGTCATCTCATCAACTCATTCATCGGTGATGCTGCTGTACACGCTGTTGTAAAGTAGTCAAAAGTCTTACTACACAAGTTACTTTGGTGCAGATATTGTGTCGACTGTCTTCAAATTAACTGAAACAAGGTGTTTCCATGTCTTCGAAAATTATCTATCTACTAATTGTGTGCACCATACGTGGATCAGTAGCAACATGGCGAGTTTACAAGCTGTTGTTTGTAGACAGCGTCTATCGCACGTATGTATCATTGAATTGTGGCACTGTTAAATTTGCACACTGGTATCAACTGATCCGAGTCCTATACAGTTTTTATTCGCTTGTACATATGAGTCAAGTGGCGGAATACGCATTTAAACTTCACCAAGAGTAGCGAAACATCGACGGACACTTGTTGCATATTGTGTTGGTACTCAGAGCTCCGATGGGCTGAAGCCACGTCCGCATCACAAAAAAAGCTACGCATCTGTCACCTATGTTACTTAACGACAATTTACACTAAGAGCAGAAGCAATTCAATACAGAGCGCTATAAATTAGAAATACTATTAACCGAAAAAGCTGAAGCACATCACCAGCGTCATTGAAAGTCTTATTACGATCATAACTTCGATTTATGGGCTTATAATAAATCATCGGTGGTCTCAGTGGTGGTCATTCGACGGCCTTAATCGTTGTGTTGACAACCTCCTCGACTGTCTAACTTAGCCGATGGTATTCTAAACAATGGGGACGTCCCCCATGTTTTGCGGTATCAGGGCGTCTGTCGCTGATGCTTTTGCGAAAACTTTGAAGCGCGTCTTGACCATAATTTGCCGAATAATACGGTTTTCTGAGCTCATCGGACCTCGCTGCATATTGCGCTTTTCGCCTAGTAGTCGCCCACTTGGCACGTAAAAGTAACATCAAAGGACTCTGATCATCCCATCGTCTCCACGACTGACCAAAAACCTATCGGCGTGATCCTCAGCGTCAGCATCACCCTTCTCGTACTGAAAAAATTGCCAGACGATCGTGCCACTAATATGTACTAAAAAGTCGCATACTTGTTCGTTGTCATAGCGATTCGCCAAGTAGAACCTCAACCTTGCCGACTGTTCGAATCAAGAATCGCAATATTGTAGGAATGCCTTGCTGAGGATGTTAGGTCGGTATTTACGCCTTCATCGACCATTGCCTGTTCCAAAGTTTGGCTTCCCTCTTTGGACTTAGTATAAGGCTACACACCACTTGATCTGGGTTTTGCATATATTGATGATCTCTGAGTAAATGTTCGCTTTACTAGAGTGCATCATCAGGGCAAATGTGCTTACTCCAAACTAAATGATAACTTGTAGCGGAACGTGCGTCTTGACCGTTAGCACTTGCCATACATTGCTTTTTACAACGTCGCTAAAAGCAGTTGTTCACCCCGAATCGACTTGACCTCTTGGCGATACCAGTGACAATCTCTCTTAGCTATGCCTCTTGAGGTTCGATGGCAGGCATTGGCTTGTCCACGCAGAAACTGACCTTTATACTATGCGCTCCTCGTAAAATACTGCACTGTATTCATCAATCTCTTTTGGTACATCGCCAGAGATAATAGCCAGAGTGCCATTGAGAACGCTTCTCACTCATTCGCTGTGTTGACTACTTTGTTGTATCGAACCACACATACATATGTTGACTACTTTTTGCACCTTCATGCGCGCGCTTGTCGTTGATTGGCATCGCATTTGGCTGACGTGTAGTGCTTACATTAGCTAATGTGTGGTGCATCTTCTTCACCTGCTGCCTAGAGTGCTTCTACCGGTACTATCTTCACAAGACTGTAACGGGGGGAGGAGCCTGGTACCTGTGATTGGCATCACAATGGGCCAATAAGAATTATATCGTAAATAGTATCTTCCCCATTGTTTTACTTCACCAAACACAATGTATCGTATTGTAAACGCGTTACGCGAGCCGTCGTGCCACCAAAATGACTCAACTTCCGCATGCGTCGGGTTATCTCTCCTTCGCCACATTTTTCTCTACTCTCGCCAGGGTCCATGAGGCGGCGCGCCTATACCACCTAAGCCCTATTAGGCTGCACGACCCTGTGCACAGTGGCAAAGGAAGTACAGGTCTGGGGCCAATCGAAGGCGGTGTCCAGCGGTAGGTTTCTTGCTTTGATCCTTTGGATGTCTATCTTGTCAACAGGACCCAGGGACGGTCACTGTTGCTCCCATTAAAACCCAACGCTTGACGCGAGCGTACCGAAGCAGAGATGCCTGGGGGCGTCGGGCGTGGCGGTTTGGCTGGCGGCTGGGAGAACAGCGGATAGAGAGAGAGGCTGTAGAGGGAGAGGAACTTGTCCAAAACTGACGGATGCCGCGAAGCACCCGTCGGAGGCCTGAGCAAGCACCAGCTAGCTTAAGCCTTCCGGGAGGGCGTTACCCCTACCCGAGCAGGACCACCAAGCACATATTGCCGGAATATTACCACTACGAGTGGTGTAAAGCACCGCTTCACTCATTCGTTCAGAACGGCTATTATATCAACCGACTGTAGTGCTGATCGCAAGACGCGCGCAACGGGTGGTAAGCGGGTCGCTGCAGTTGATGTTGTAGTTTAACATAGTTCAAGAAAGATCAACAGAGATTTGACAAAGATATTCGAAATCTAGATGCTAAAGCTCTATTTTTCCATTTCTGAGACGTGTTCGTGTAGCAGAAAAGCCTTCCTCTGCACGTACAGTGTACAGGAGGATCCGAGGCACCTGCCTACCCTGTGTTTGTATAGGCAGTTTGTACTGTGTCAGTCCAAGCAGAGGGTGCCCCGTCACAAGTACGAAACCCTCTGAGGCTATTTTGCCGACATGCGATTCGCCAAGACAATATTTACACCAACATCAATGTGTGCCCGTCAAGATCAGGGACTTGAAACAGGTCCAAAAAAAGTAACGAACGCCTTCCGTTACTATATTTTGGCCGGCTATAAGTTTTAGCAGTCGTGTGCCCTAACCGGAACCGATGCCCCCCGATCAGATCAACTACTTGAAGGTCAACTCTCCGTGGAAAGCCGCATGAACAAAATGTTGTACGATTGCGTGCGACCTCACGACCGCTACGACAGACGGCATTGACAAGTCGGCTTTATCAAAAGCAGTGTCGAAAGAGGCACACGCTGATGCGAGTGAACGCACAAGTACAAACGAAAGAGTCTCGACCCGAATGCTACTTCGACTGCCGCTGTCGCTCGGCGCTCGCCTATCGACGACGTAAAAAAAAAAAACACACACACACACAGGAGCCACTCGCTTCAGCCCCGAGCTCGCGGGTCGTCGTACGTCGAATCAACGTGCCGCCTCCATCGGGTCACACCTGCCAACCTCTGTCAGCGCGGTCCATCAACATTTCTGCCTTTTGTCGCTGTGGGTCATTCCTTCCCCAGTGCGTTTCGATCATTCAGTGGCTCGACTCGTTTCTTGAGAGTCTTTTGCCATTGACAGCGCGTGACCTGCGCCGGGCAACGAGTGGGTTGATTTTTTCTGACCACTTGCGTTGAACCTGAGCGAATAATCCATTGCAATCCCTCGTCGAGAGAGAGAGAGAGAGAAAACGGTCGTCGCATCGTCGTCGCACCCCTCTCTTCGGTTCCATCGACCAGAGGGAGTACCCACTTCGTCCATTGCTCCATTACTCCATTGCTCGCGGCCCACGAGAAGTGTACCCCCGCGTACCCCCCGCGTTTCAGCCCATTGGTCACCCCCCCCACGTCCGTCCGTCCGTCCCATTATGGCCAAGCGACTCGACTTGGAAGCGCGTCTGCGAGCGCTGCGCGCCCACAAGCGACCGCTACTGTCGCCGCCCGCGCCGTCTTCTGCCCCTGTCTCGCATCGGTCAGCAACGGGCTCCATGACGGGCTCTTCGAGTCCGCGTCGCTCCCTTTCGACTGACAGAGCCGTCGCTGACACTGCGTCAGGCACTGACGGACCTGTGCGTCGCGCCGCTTCTGCACGTCCGGACGCGTACGTTCTCTTTCCCAGTAGGCGCTGCGCGGCTGTGGACAACAGGACGGCATTGGCGGCCCGAAGAGCGCGGGAACCTGCGGTAGCACTGGATAAAGTATCGCAGGGTCGAGCGGCCGAGTTGTTGGGTCGGGAGTACGAAGAAGCAGTGAAAGTGGCGCAGTTTGCGATGGACAAAGAGCGCCGGCAGATGCCCCACGCAGCAATTGACGCGTACATTCGCGCGGGACAGATCCTCATTGAGATTGGCAGAAAACAGGCAGTGCCGTATCTACAGGCGATCGTGAAAGCCAAAGCTCTGGATCTGCTGCAACGCGCCGAAGCGCTGTCCGAGTGGACGAATGACGTCTTGGCAAAGGACTCGAGTCAAGACGCTCTGGCGGAAGCGTACCTGCAGTCGCAGCGCAACCGCAGCGAGTCGTATTCAGAAAAGCAGCGACTCGTGTCGAAAATGCACGAGAGGAACCTCCATATGAAGAAGAAGCTGAACCAGCTGACGCTGCTGACGACTGTTCGGAATCGCATGATCAAAGCCGTTAGAGCGCGACGGGCGCGGAAAGCAGCGGAGGCCAAGGTGAGACAGGAAGCAGAAGCAAACGCGAGAGTGTCTCGAGGCGTGATGCGGAGGTGTGGAGGATGGGATAGCGACGTGACGGAAAAGAGGGGTAGCTATTCGTACGGAGACGGCGACGAGAGCGAAGACAGCCGTATCGAATTCAGTAACATCACGGGCTCGAGCTCGGATGAAGAGGAGGAGACACGGAAAAGTTACGAGTCCCACGACGTTTCGCGTACTACAGACAGTTCGCCGCGAGAAGTGCAAAAGATTGAACTGGTCAACGAGTTACACGAACGCATTGGGCTCCCTCAGATTGACCGTTTCCGGAAATTCGAGCCGCTGACGACCGACTTGACAACGTACAAGAAACAGGCCCAGCTACATACTGAATTGGAAGCAGCCAAGCAAGAATCTATCAAGTTACAAGCTGCAGTGCAGGAGATGGAAAGAAGTCTATGGCTTGCCGAAGAGCGTTCAAAGCAGCTGTCGATGAGGTTGGAAGAAAAGAAAGCACGAGAGTTTGCTGAGGTGCAGAGCCAACTAGAGCGTCTGCGGGAGGAGCTCAAGATGGATCGGCAACGGTCATCTTCGTTTTACAGCGAGCCGACAAGTTGGAATACGTCCCAGGCCACAGATCCTGTCGAGCAACATCGTGACGCTACAAATGGTTACACTCGACGCGCATTCGTACACCGTACTTCGCCCGTGAGTGCAGAGGACGCTTTACATCATTCACGAGCAAGTGCAAAGCACAGCTTTTTGACTCGGTCGTACGAGATGGACGAGGAGGAAACAGAAGAAGACGATGATGGCGGCATTTGGCTATGATTTGCGGGTCTACTAAGTGGGTGTGGGTGCTGTCTTTGCTGGCTGCTATCTAGCGGTAGAGGTTGCAGCCCATTACAGCCGAGTGCATTTGGTGTCTACGAATGACCACTCTTGGTGAGTGTATGCTTGCATTCTTTTGTCTACTCAAGTCTGATGTTTCGTGTCGACGGGCTGGACATCAAAAGGGAGCTGCGGGCAAAGTTTGTGGTTTTCTCCTTCTCGCGTGTGGGAAAAGCAAAGGCGATGAAGCAGATTCATGCGGCGGCCTATTCGCACAGCTGCAGATGCGCGTGGTCGTTTTGTGCATCATCATTTATAAGAGCAGCGATGCCCAAATTTGATCCAGCCACATTGCGCGCATGAAGATCATTCGCTGCTCCGACGACAGCACAAGGCCGGAGCTTGTGATATTGAATCGTGGCAAAGTACCGTACCACGGTCTCGTCGACGAGCACACACAAAATCTAAGCTGTCTTTGTCCGGAGCACAATTCACGTGTACTGTTGTCCATTTCAGCGGCTTTTGGGCATCATCACATTGCGCGCATTTCTACATGACTGAAGACCTTTAGCGCGTTTACGTCCACCCTGCTGACCTGCAGGCTCTGCGTGAACTTTGTCTTGCGCAAACGCCAACATGTCACGGTTCGGCCGCTATCGCCATTACAATGCTGTTCCATGAAAGCTGACAAAGCAAGAGCGCGGCATACATTTGGATGTAGAGGTACTTGCTATGCGGTGTAAGCTACCCGTACAATGCTCAAAAGTAGGCGCATACGCACACATAACAGCATGTACAGAATTAAACGTACCACCTGTCGAGTTCGAAGACAATGCTGTCAGCGCGTGCTCACATGTGGCCTTCGATATGCACCACACACGTTGTATCAGCGGAGTGCACGTGCTGATGCTTGTCACAGCTGCGCAGATGGACTGGCATCGAAACGTGTCTGAATAACGCATTATCACCGTGATCTGACCAAGATCTTGCTAGCGGGAATACCAATGACGCACCAGAGATTGATGCTAGTGTCGATACGTGAGGAGCGGCGTATGATTATGAAAGCCGTTATCAAGACAACCTGCACGGAATGAACAACACAATGGATGGGTTTGGCATCACCAAACGAAGAGAATGATTACTAGCGCAACGAAGTGACTTGAGATTACGACCGAAATGTCTCAACAACAGTTGTCGCACCTCGATCGAAGTCTTCGTGATTTGAGAATTGAGTTGTCGCGTGCGTCGATTTCCCTCGTCCTGCTATTCCCTCCGACAGGTGTTCCATTGCTGAAGGAAATCGATGTCGGGGGAAACAGACCCGAGCGTCAGAAAGTGAATGTTGTTGTCGAGCGATCGATCGGTCGTCAAGTCCAGTCACGATATTCAGCAGCAGCCGGTGACTCCGATCCCTCCATCCTGTGCATCGAGGACCCGATCCCGACACGGAGCATGTCACTTGCTGGCTTCCGATTCTTGGACGTTTGCAACGCGGCATTTATTGTTCGCTGATGGACGTTCTTACGGTACGACAAGAAGCGGCGAACGCCATATAAACAGCTACAGACACAACTCGACTGCGATGTACGCTGCTTTCCAGCTCTGGAACAACACAAGCCCGTGAAGTGGCAAAAGCGATGGCGCAGTACAAGAATGTGTGCTGGACTGGAAACTCGTTGGTCAGAAGAAGAAGAAGAGCTTGACAAGTACGCTGCATCCTGTATCTACTACGTCTTCACGGTTCGTGGTACATCAAGTTCGATCGGCATATCGCAGTTGATGAGGTGATGTAACATGAGAAAGAGAACATCAGCAGGCATTGTAGCTACTGACAGCGTAAGCTACAATTGGTGTACCCGACTACTGTAGCACCGAACCCACGCTGCGGCAATGTGTCCACTGGCTTCAAGTTTACACTCGACACGTTTTCCAGAACTAGTCAGCCTCGTCTCCGGCATAAACTAGTGACAAAAGGGCATCACTGCATCTCTTGCATCAGTGGAAGTATAACATCGCTCTTTGCACATAGCATCCCAATCCTACTTCGACTCATGTGATTCTAATCGGACTGTTTGGACATGCTCGCTCCGGCGAGGATTGTCACTTACATGATAGTGCAATGTCAATAGAGAAGGGTCTTGTCTTGTTGCTGAGATGTGTAGCGACAATAGATCGATCATTGCCGTGCCGGAACCGTAGACTCACCATATCCACTTTGGCGGTGCGGAGCGCAGTGTCGCCTAAAGTGAGCTCATAGCTTCGTTTCGGTGCTTTGCCATTCACGAAATCAACCAGCGGTTTAGCAACCAGAGTCGCCACTTCTCGGCCATGTGCGATGCGTGATTCACAACAACCCACAGCTTCCTTCACAGCTCCTCTACCTCATCACGCCTCACCAGCCCAGCGTCAGTCACCGCAAACCTGCATAAACAGCTTAGCCATTCCCTATCCACACACACCCCACTCCCCGCAACAACACACAGCATGAAAAACACCACAATCAACACGCACACCACGAAAAACCGCACTTTGCCAATACGTTGCAAAACTCAGGGCCCGCGCATCGAGCACACGTCTTAGCGCGCGCGCCTATCCTGTTTTCCCCCGATCCAACGCGGAAAACGAAGCTCGTATGCGTCGATCCACCCGTACTTAACGAGCAACACCCATTTACCTCCTCCCTCATCGGCATCGGCGTCCACGTCCACGTCCACATGTCGCCGTCTTTTGCTGAGCTCTCCGTAGAGCCACCGAGCGCCCGCATCGACATGCAACACGCCGTATCGTCCGCCACGACCTCGAGCAGCAGCTCTCGCTACTCCGGCACACAGCGACAGCCGCAGCGGCACAAGAAGGACGTCTTCCGCTCGTGCTCAGCGGTTCCCGAGTACTTTACGCGCGTGTTGGACGGCCGGCAGATGGACTTTGACGCGGCGTTTTACCAGATCGTGACGCTCTGCGTGCAGCCGGCAAAGGTCTACAAGAGCGCGTACTACCGCAAGCAGACAAAGAACCGCTGGGCACGAGACGATCCAGCGTTTGCTGTTATTCAGTGTGGCTTTCTGCTCGTGGCGACCGTCGCGTGGGCCATTGCGTTTCGCGTGGACAGTGTCGCGCGGTACGCGCTGCTGCTACTTCATGCAGTGCTGATCGAGTGGCTTGGCCTGGGGCTGTTGATTGCTACGCTGGGCTGGTGGCTGGCCAATTCCAATCTACGTCAGAAGCACAAGTGAGACCGCGAGCTGGTGTTTTAAATACCGATACTTTACGCGTGAATGCACGGTTGGATCTCTGGTTGGACTGTGTGCTGATATCGATTGTTGTTGTTGTTGTTGTTGTTGTTGTTGTTGTTGTTAGTTGTTGTTGTCGTTGTTTTGTGTGTGTGTCTGGTTTTGTGTTGTGCTGCCGAGGTAGCCATGGCATGAGCGACGCTTTGTTTGTCGAGCAGCGCGTCGAGTGGCAGTTTGCCTTTGACATTCACTGCAACTCGTTCTTCATTCTGTTCCTCTTTCTCTACGTGCTGCAGGTACAGCCGACCGAGTGGCATGTCCGATGGCCGACAGTGAGAATGACACGACTGACACTGCCATGTTTGTGTTCTTACTTTGTGACGGCAGTTTTTGCTCGTGCCATTGCTCATGTCCGACTCGTTTGTGGTGTTGCTGGTTGGGAACCTGTTGTACTCGCTCGGCTGGGGGTTCTACACGTACATCACGTTTCTGGGCTACATGGGTGCGGTGGGCTGCAGCGATCTGTGTGTGCGTGCTATACAGAGTGGATGAACATGCTGACGAAGCGCGGCACTGTATGTTGTGTGTTCCATGCTAGCCCTGCCGTTTCTCCACAGGACAGAGCAACTGCTGCTACCGCTGGTCGTTATCACTGTCCTCTTTGTATCCACATTGGTGTTGCACGCGGTCTTCGGTGCTCGGATCAACTTTGTGCATATAGCCACGCACTATTATTATGCTTCCTAGTTGTGTAGGCAAGTGACGTTGAGGCAATGGATGGATGTAGCAGCACGCAGCAAGAAGCCCTAGATGTACCAAATGCCACAGCAGTGTTGGTGAACAAGTGTCTTGTCGTTTCATAGCACAGTAGCGACTGGGGATCATCACACTGTCGTCAGTCGAGCTATAGGAGTCAGCTGTCAGCTGCACGCAAAACTTGGGAGCTCAATCAAAATCTCGTTTTCTATCCTGCTTCTACCTCGAGGAGATCAATACGCGACCATCAAGATGACTGCAGCTATCGCTGTATGTGACAGCATACTGGTGAGGCCAACCGCTGCCGAGACGTCCAATCCAGCATTGTTGCCACTGGCTGGTAACTCGCCGGCCGAAGCAGCATCGTCCAGAGATGAGTTGGTCACGAGCCAAGCCTTCAAGAAATCGTCCAGAAGTACACCTCCGGGGCTGCGAGTAGCGTTGTGATAGTAGCTGCCGTTCGTGAGGAAGACGTGGTGAGAGCCATCCACGTAAAACGTGGAGACATCGTCGCTAACGTTCTTGTACACGTCGATAATGGCCGTCATGCCCTACAGCAGCAGCAGCAGCGAATGCAAAAGCAGCAGAAACAAGCAGCATCGACAGTCAGTTTAGCCAGTCACTGCAGATACTGAACAGAAGCACACACACACACACACACGACCAACCGACGTACCGCGAAGAAGTCCTTTTCACTAATGAGGTCCGTAAAGAGGTACCCGAGAATGCCTTGGTCCACGAGCTCGTAGAACGTGCGCTGGATCACGTCGTACTTGCTGTTTACAAACAGCCACTGCGCAGTCGGCAAGTTCTCAATCATAAACGACATCATTTCGGCCACGGTCAGCTCGTTGTCGTCACACTGGTCCCAGAGCTTGGCCGGCATCTTCAAGTCGAGCTCGCACGAGCCGTAGTACGAAATGAGTTTCCCAGCACTGTAGTCGCTCGGCAGCACGCCGACGTAGCTATCGGCGAGCACCGAGAACCGAATGTTCTTCTCCTCGACCTGCCACATATCAGCTACCAGCGCACTGAGGGCCTGGGCACCAAGGGCGCCCGCACTCGAGCCACTTATGACGATTTCATCTGGACTCGGGTAGTTCGCCATGGTCCACTCGAGCACAGCCTTCGTGTTGTTGTAGCCCACTTGGTGCAACGTCATGTTTTGCTTCCGGCACGGAGGGGCGTCGAGCACAGCGTAGATCGGACTATCTGGAATCGTATTGATGCGATGGCCAATGTGGAGGTCACCGGTGCAGTACGGCAGGTGCACAATATTGTACGCGTTAAAGAGGTTCTTGTCGTCCGAGCGGTTGAGCACACCGGAACTTAGGGGCACAGCATTCGGGTTAAACGTCTCTTGAATGCACTGGAGACCAAAGGCACACGTGACGTCGTCGAAACAGGCCCCGCCCCCCTGAAAATACAGCATAAGCTTCGACTTGGTCTGGTCTGGCGCAGGAAAGACCTGGAAAAAGTAGGTCGCGTTCGTCGCAAACGTCACGCCCGGGTCCGAAAAGTCGTCAAAGGCACAGCGGGTGTCCCCGCCAGGGTAAATGACGATACTGCGATCAAGTGCCGACGGAGTGAGGCTGTCGACCGCACAGGAACCCGAGGCATTCATGACGCAGACCTCGTCGTCATGACGAACTTGAGCCCAGGTCAGAGACGACACGAAGAGTGCCGAGAGTGTGAGTTTGCTTGCAAAAGGCATTGTGCAGGTACTTGTCCCTGTTGCCCTTGTCGATGGTAGCGGCGGGTTTTAGAATGGTTGGCAAGCCAGCGAGGCCGACAAACTACGTCCGACAGTCGGGTTGTGGTGAAGGGATCAGAAGGGCTTTGGCCCCCTTGACGAAGAGAGCCAGACCTTGATGGCTTGATGTCCATGCACTGTTTACGTCGCTGCAGTACCCTCAGCGCAGCATATCCTTCTGCACCGAAGTTTCTCAGCATGTGGCTGAAAGGGTTTGGAAACGGGATGCAGCAGTAGTATCCATTGCTCTGATGTTCGCGAATGCTGCGTACTATGAAGGGGTATGTACGTACGTACGTACGTACGTACGTATGTATGTATGTATGTATGTATGTGTGTGGGTGGACTTTTGTCGACGGTTGATGGACCATCAGCGCATCACGTGCTGTAGTCGCTGTGCAGTCACAGGTTGTATGGCTGTTGCAAAGAGAGGAGCGGGTACGATCGATCGATGCAGAACGTCGACACACCCACCCGGTCACCTCTTTGGCATATGGTCACTTTCGCCTCACCATCCGTTTCGATAAGAACAAGACGCACTGCAAAGTTCAATGTCGACGACACCGACAGTTGGCAGCTTTTTATAGAAAGCAGGTGTCGCCTTGGTTACGAATCGAGCCCTTTGATTGCGATAGGAGGGCTGGCACGTTCTGCGAAACTTTCTCGCAGCACGCGACTACCGCGTGGCTATCTGATTGAACAGTGGCCTTGGGATACATAAGGTGCGGTGTTGGGATGCGACAGGCTCGGGGACCAGACTTCGCGTGTCTTCTTTTTGTCGAACAGCGCTCATTGTGCATTTTACAGAAAGCATACCACCACCTGCCTCGTATACATGCACAGAGGAGACTGGACTATGTATTATCACTTTTCGTAGCGACTTCGCGCGTGTCCTGACGTAGTTTGACGCGTCAAACACAGCAAAAGGAAAGCACCACTTTACAAGTCTATGGACTCCATGCAACTTCTTCGCACACCGTTGCAGCCGTTGTCGTGTGCTCCCATGAACTGTCGAATATCTCTTTCTATAATGAAAGGTACGCCGACATCACTAGGAATCCGAGCTTTCGAAAATCCAGCTTTCATTTTCCGACTCGGTAAGATTTCGTGTTGTCCATTGAGTTCAGACCGGATTGTGCGTCAAACATGCGATAGAGACAGTTGTCCTTCTGCTGCATACGCATTCGTTTATGCCACCTGCTGTCTGAACCCGTGAGCACAACCAAACCATCAACATGAGCTGAATCGACACACGATGCAGCTGACGCATACAAACTTAACGCATATGTTGTGGATTGGGGCTGTCACAGGCACTCTCGGCGGTGTGCACACTCAGCTTGAGATTGTAAGCCGTGCCATTCCGAATACCATGTGCGTCAATGAGACATGTCATTTCGTATCACTAAGTTCAAGACCACCTACGTGTAATTATTGATATAAGTGTAGCGACACAGACGACAGAGATCCTCTTGTTGCGCGCCGCTCGCTACTGCTGGCAAGAATCCTTTACACTAGCGTGCTAACTATACACGGTCATTCGCAAAAGAGCTTTGATTCGCCAAAGGTGATACAAGTAGGAGCTGGAGCTGAATGTCGAAAAATATACGTTATTCAACTACCAAGAGGAAGGAATACCGATGGTGCTCAGCAGAGTTTGCGCGTCTACCACAACGACTTCAGCCGTGACTAAGGGGCTTAGCCCTATCGCATAAGTTTGCTGCATTCATTCTAGGGTTCGCAACATAAGAAGATCGATTGTTTGGGCTCAGGTTACAGATTCACAATACGCTGGAAAATAAAATCAAGTGTCGGCTCATTCCCCAAGTTCTCTACACCAGTCTACTCTGCCACAAGATGATCAGCTTGGTGCGTCCACCCAAGCTCGTACGGTTGGTACTGTTTTGGACGATGGTTTAAGCTCATCGAGCCTACTCTTTGCTCGATCTACAAATGACAGAGCTGAGCGTCGACAAGACAATAGGAGGCTTAGTAGCCAACCTACATCCCTCTGCTTGACAGCTCATTTTGACAGGGTATTCTTGCTCGTGAACCTGCTGCAGCGCGTGCTTCATGGTATCACAGTTCGCATTACGTAGTAACTCGGAGCAATTTGATGTTTTGCACGACGTTGTTTCCAGCGTTTGGTAGCTCATCTTCGTCAGGGATACTAGAAAATGCAGGTTCTTGATCCAGAAATATAGTCGAGTTTTTAAGTGTGTAGCACCGGCAGTATGAAGCAGAAGAACTCAAGGACTTCGAGGAAGTCGTTCAGGGGACGTTGTAGATGAGCGGAGTTAACGTATAAAAATGGACAATAAAAAGAACGAGAGATGACTGGTTCACACGTCTCATTGGTTGATCTAATTCGCCAATCATGTCGACCAATGTATGAATGCATTCCGAGCAACCAGGAAGATGCCGACAAACAATGGCTACACCAATGTTGGCATCACCAACGCTTCCTCTGACATTTTCCGCTGTTACAAGGTACTACTCAGCGCTAACACACATACTTTCCAATGCATACGGTGTCAAAACCGATCAACGTTCTGAAAAGAAAGCTGAGTGCCAATATGTGAATTATACGAATTTATATGCTGATCGACAGGTCTGAGCCGAAAAGATGCGTGAGCGCTACTTGCCTTTGACTTTTCTAAGAGAAAGTTGAAGTATGCCAAGCTCACCAGATGTTGGCGCCATCACGTCCAGTTACACACAGATTGCTTTCTTCAAAGAACGACAGGTCGGTGTCGCGAAGTGGTATATGATAGGTCATGTATTCGCCAAGTAGCAGCAAATCAGTACTATTGTAACAGATACCCTCCACTTGTACTGGAATAGTACAAACTATATACGCTGTCCACAGTGAAGACATGTGCTTCCGAAAATTCCGTACGTGGTACGTGCCGAGGCAGAAGCAAGTCCTCCAAAGTACAACGCTTGAAAAAGTTATGAGAAGAACTGCATTTGAATGTTACGTCTAATGATAAAACCCAGTCAGCCTTATCATTACCTACACAACATAAATGTAGGAACTTGGTCGCCACCCATTGCGCGCGTCTAGCAGCGATTGTGATTTATTTTAAACGAAAGTCATGTCCTCAATAAAACATCGATGGAGCGACTCTAAAATATACTCTCAAGGGTATTATTCCCCTTCAAAATATAGTCTTATAAGATATATACTGACGAAATTTATCGAGTATGATAATACGTATGCTGAAATCATTGGAGTTAACTGACATGTTGCGGTCTCACCCGTTTCACTAAACGAGAAGCAATCAAGGTATGCACTTTCTAGGACTTGTACCGGTATGGATTTTGGTTTTCACTCGAAACAATGTAGATTGCGTCGGCGCAATACAGACAACCCAAGCTATATGTAGATACCAAATGGTGTCTAGTAAGGAAATGATTACGTGACGTGCCAAACACGACAGCAACCTGGAATTTGGATATATAAGTCTGATGTCAAATCAAAAGATACATTTCGATAATACTAAGGGCTGCTTGCCAGAATTTAATCAAAAACCAGTCAACAACTGAATGCGTCCAGAATATCTTATATCGATACGTTTTGGTCGCGCTTGCCCGAATGTGCATTATTGTTTTCGTAATAAAGGTTGCATCGCTTCCAAAAATGTGTATAATAAGCACACGTATCAGCCGGCGCTGCACTTTTCCGGGCAGGCTCCACATATACTGACAAAGCACAAGCTCTTCACACTGCTGATATCGTAGTCACGACATCGAGAACTTTCGCGCAAATCTATATAGAAGTTGACAATCATTTTACGCTTTTTGATTGCAAGATGAGTAATTGCATTGATCATTCTAAAAGCCTTCTATGGTCATCTGTGATAGTTTTAACTTCGCCTACTTTGAGCATGAAATATGCATGCGGCTAATTGCACATTATGTCTGACGTGAGTCACTGCTTTTTAACAGCATTGCATCTATTAATCAATCTTAGCTACGATTGAAGTGCTTCCATAGCAATTGGGAGAATGGTTATATTTTGGTCAGTATGTAACATACTGATCAAAATATCACCATTCTCTCAGTTGCTCTATCAGGTAAAATTGTTGGATGTCGTCCGCCACTATAGTATTGTTGTAATTATATGCCATCATAATAGGTACAATTCAGTTAGTGTTATACCGTTTACGTCAATTAACGACCTTGTTCTATATACGTCATATATATAATACATTCGAGCGAGCGATCATTATAAATACATGTTTTGAGAACAAGCTTCTACTCTAAAGTCATTTTCGGATTTTGTCTACCTTGTTCTACCCGTGCGCGGAGCCATTCAATTGCCCGCATGAATATATAAGAGGGTAAAGAAATCTCACCTATATTTCTAAGCTTTCGTGGTCATGCGTCATTGATACAGAGAAGTGTAGCGCTAGATAATCATCATTTCATCACAACGTTGCACCTATGACTGCTGTTACTATATAACGAACAAAATAGTGATCAAGTCAATGGGATGCTACTGGATGCGAACAACTCTCGCGACAAAGGGTTGTCACATAGACTCGACGCATATATCCAAGTATTTCGCATTAACTCAAGATCTTGGCAATGTCACATGTAATATACTACTCTAATATTGGAATTTACATACGTCCTTTCCATTGACAACTGACGTATGGTAAATACTATGGTTTCTAATGAGTCTCTTTTGGGGTATCCACCAACCTCGTTCGACGGATTCGGTTTTATACCGCACAATACATATCTAAAGTCGGCTGCCCACGCGTGTAGATCGACTTTTTATAAAATTGACTCGTTAACAGCTATATACGACGCGGGCCAACTACAGTAGAACTCCCCTTAGCTAATCCTCCATTACCTCATAATCCCTTGCATTTATTGAAAGGGTACGGCCCAACGTCGGCAAAAAGGTAGATTACGTGACTGTTCATCCCCTGTTAAGGTAAGCGACCATTTCA